CCTAACTCTATACATAATAACAAGTTCTGTATTGAGTTGTGCCCTCAAATATAACTCAGCTATCATGGTGATTTTGCAGCCATAGAGGTGTGTAATGCTTGAGCTGAGAACTATGAGCTATAAATAAAGGATTGTCATCTTATGTGAGTCTCCCCTAAATGAGTAGTGCTAAAATAGCGCAAAATAGTACTACAGTAGTGCAAAATAGCGAAAATTAGAGGACCACATTTGCAGTAGTGCTATAATAGTATCATGTTGGCACTACATGGCACTATAGAAAAAGTGATAGTGAAGAGTAGTTATAACTAGTACCAAGTATACTAATTAGTGCTTAGTTGCACTACTGAAGAAGTGTGTCTGAATAGTAGCTCTAATGTAGAGGTCATTTCTGCTAACACTTGCTAATATAGATGAGATTATCTGAGTAGTGATAATTAGCGTCAATTCGCAAAGGCTGTTTTTCCAGATGTAGTCGTATAGAACGACTGTACTTTATTGAAAAAACGCCTCCGTTCTTCTACACCATCCGACGTTGGTGCATATATGCAAAGTAAGTGAATCCTATCATCGCCCATGCATTTTAGGGAGACTTGTATCGCTCTCCCTTCGACGACTGTTTTTGCCGTGGCGCCTTCCGAGCTGACCAACTTTTTGTTTATAATCACCGCAACTCCTTCCTTTTGGCTTGGAGCCGAGGGGTGGGCTGAGCTGAAGATTGTGAGATTCCTTTCGTACAAACTTTGTACTGATGCCAGCCTTTCTGCTGACAGGTGTGATTCTTGTACTAGCAGGACCCCGATGCGTTTATCGGACATAAATTGGGGTATCCGCCCCCATTTGTTGTTCTGATGGTCCGGTTGCAACGTGCCGAAACCATTCATGTTGAGTGTCGCGACCCGCAGAGTTGTTTTCCGCGCAAGTTGCTCGGCTTTCCGCCTCGACCTTCTGTTGCCACCCTGGCCTGTAGCTGACTCTGTTCGAGTGCTAGTAGGATCACGATTTGTGTCCACGGAGGATTGCGTGTTCCCCTCCATCTGTTCACCTCTGATCGAGGGAGTATGCTGCGTTGCAGCTCCACCAGTTATCCTGGTGTTTTGCCCGTCTCTGATCGAGTCCGGTGGCGGGTCGACGATCAGATCATCAATGGCAGTTGCCATCTCCCCGTCGTCGTACTCTCCGCTCTGTCCACTGTCCGTTCGGCTCCCCCCGTCATTGGAAAGCTGGCCAGCGGTTGCACCAGCACTCCCTCCGGGGAGAGCCGGCGCGAATGCCGTTACCATGTTGTTGCCGTCGTGATGCTGCTGTCGAATTGATGTACTTCTATTGTGTGCTCGGAAGACATGACCTGGTTGGGGTTCGAACGGACGAGCGACGCGTCGACCAAAATCAGCCACCGACGCGTCGTGATTGCATGCCCTGACGCGCGCTTGGCGTCCGACGCGTCTTGTCTCCCAACCACAGCCTGGTGCATCATCCCCTCTGAGATTACTCGGCCATGTCACGACATCATGAACAGCTCTTGAGGCGCATATGCCAGAACGAACCAACCTTTAGTAAGGCGAAGACAATTCTACACACAGCGAGCCTCAAGACCACCCCGGGTTCTGGGTATGAGCTCGGGCAGGGCGCGACTGGACTGCCGGCTATATGCGCGTACATCGCTGCAGAAGAGTACGTCCTCAACACCATGCCCTGAGAGGTGGTGTTTCTGAGGTGCCGGCGTAGGTTGGGAGACGACGACATCGACGAGAAGTCCGCGCAAGCTGCGTCCTGCCTCAAGCCCAAGGTCTTCAAGACCACCCTCCAGACAGTGCGGTCCGCCCTCGCTGCTGTTGCTGCTGCGGCGACGTCGCCCACAAAGCGGGCGTCGCGGAACATCAGCTACAAGCAGCTCGTGGATGACGCGAAGATTGGGCGGAAGGGCATGGTGACAGAGTGGATGAAGGATGCGGAGCGGACGCTCATGGACAACCGGGAGATGCGGAGGCGTTTTCAGAGCGCGTATGACGCGATCACGCTTGCAGTCTTTTGCTGGGTGTGTGGGCTCATGGGGGTGCGTCTGTCTACTCTGACCGCGGCAAATGAGACTCTGACGTCGCCGGCGGGCGCAGAACAAGAAGGTCAAGGCACCTGATCTCTTGGACAAGTACGACGTCCCGCGGGACCAGTTCGACGAGCTCACCGACGCGCTGCACGAAGTGTGCAAGGACGTCGCGAAGGACATACAGAACGACATCGCCGCACTCAAAGCGGGAACTTACGTCCCCAAAACCCGTCCCACGACGGTGACCGTGTCGCCGACGAAGGGATCTGCAGCCACCCTCCCCCCGCCCATCGCCCCGCCTGCCCGCTCGCTCAGCCGTTCCCCTTCGAAGTCCGCGCTACGCGCACCGAGCCTGGGCCTGACACCTACGAAGACCCCCTCCCACAAACGCAAGGTTGCGTTCGACGACCCGATCCCCGAGGAGGACGAGGAGGAGTTCGACGTGACCGCGACCCCCTCGAAGCGCCAGAAGCTCTCCTCGCCCGTGAAGCCCTTGCCCCCCACGCCCGCCTCCGCGACCGCACGCGCGTCCTCCCGTCTCGCAGACGTCGCCACCGCGCGCGCCGCACGGGAGGCGGAAGAGGCTTTCCGGGCCCACGAACAGCCGGTGGCAGGCCCCTCGACCCCCCGCCGCGCGCGAACGGCCCCGTCACAGCCGCCGTCGACGCACTCGTCGCGCTCGGGCCGCTCGCGCTCGCAGACGGGCAGCGCGCCGACGACCCCGAGCAGGCACGGGAAAGCGCGGATGTCGACGGTGCGCGAGGAGCTGGGGGGCGGAGACAGGCCGGCAAGGAGGAGATGCCGGCCGGTGTTTGCGGACCAGCAGCAGTGGCTTAGAGGCGACTCGCGCCTGGAACGCGAGCTGAAGCCGTGGATGAAGAAGTGGCGGGAGCTGGTGCAGAGGGCGGGGGGAGACGTGTGGAAGGCGGCGGGGATGGTCGGGGAGGGCGCGGCCGCGACGGTGCGGGTGGCTGCGTAGGCGGGGGACGTGGTTTGGGTCGGACGTCGAGTTCGATATGGTACACGGGCGTTGTTTGGTTCTGACGGACGGGATTGGATATCACGTAGCGGCTTGGACACCAGGTATGATGGGATCGAGTTGCGGTTACGGACATTTAGGAACGTCAGACGACTTCAGGGGTAGACACCAACAACATGAGATATCTCGACTCTGTTCAATGTCATTGGCATTGCAATGCAAGTTACTACATAGTTCGGAGAGCAGTCAGAGGTACGGCTAGATTGAGCAAAATTTGTTGGGTAGCACGGTTGGGCAAACCAAGAACATTTCGAGAGACGACGGGAGAAGTCAGAGCCTCTCATGTAGTGGTGCAGGATACGTAAATGATCAAGCAAAGTATGCTCAATCTTTCTTAACCTTCTCGCTCGCTTGAGCGAGGCGCAGCGAGTTAGCGATGTGGCCGTAAGAGTCGTACATGAGCCAGAGGGGGATGAAGACCCAGCTGCGAAGAACCTGGTCAATTTCTGCGACCTGGGGACATACGAGAGGACACTCACATGACGTTCATGAACTGAGCGGCAGGGTGTACGCAAGTCAACGATCATCCAGAACGCGGACACGCGTACTCACCACGAGGTACACCCAGAGGTAGAGCACGTTGGACGTGTCCAGGTTCGGGCTGCCGGTCAGCCATTCCGGACAGAAGGTCATCCACCTGCAAGCCGTTCGTCCACCCATTCAGTCATCTCCGCCGCCAGCACGCATGAGAGGCGAGGACGTACCCGCCGTAGATCTCCGAAGTGCTGAGAACGATGATCCAGTAGTGCCGCGCGGGGTCGTCCTGGACGAGCTGCTTGAGGACGTAGAAGCATATGGTCCCGACGCCGAACACGGTCAGGATCTCGAGGGAGACGACGGTCGGATCGGAGACTGCCCAGCGGAAGTCCGCAAAGGCATACTCCTTCCCTTTATCCAGTGTACGCTCATTAGCAGACAGTTCGTTGCAGAGAGGCATCGAAACATACACATCTGAGCCATGAGTCCCGAGCTGGTCGCTACCTGCCGGCCGAACAGTGAGTAGTACAGGAAGGAACCCTCGAGTGTGTAATGAATGATTCCGTCGAACGCCTGCACCACGTCTCCCATGAGCATCCCTGCGAAGACACTGACAAACGTCGTATGCGCACCAGCCATATGAAGGTGAACCGATCCTGCCAGCTCGCGTTCTTGGGAAGGAGGGTCTTGGACGCGAGATAGGCGACGGCGCCGACGCTGGCGACGAAGGCGAGAGAGTATGCAGAGGTCGCGGTGAAGATGGGCGGCACCGTGGACATGGTGGGGGATGCTGGACAAGGGTGGGAGGGCGAGAAGCAGCCCCTCCAGTCCTGCGATAGAGTGTATTGACCGGGAGTGTGGGGAAGGAGACGTCTCACACGGTCATATGATCATGAGCGACGCGTCCGAATACAGATCGCGATACACGCGCGTCGCGATAGCCCCAGCTCAATTCGGCGTTCCTCTTGCCTGTCACCCGCATCCAATCCCAATTCCTATTTCTTCTCAATATTCTGGTCATGGAGGAGAGGCCATCGTACGAACGCCACGATGTCCTTCTACAGGGCGACTTTGTGCAGGCTCCGACACTTGGCAAGATAGACATCTTCCACAACTATCTCCTCCGTAAGGTTCCCGTCTATGCTTTAGAAGTCGTCCCGCTCATTGTTGGACGCGCTTCGCACAGGTACCAACAATTTAGGCTACATTGACCACTTTGCTGAAGCCTCTCATCCAACCTCTGTTGCTATCATCGATGAGGAGAAAGATCATAGGAAGCCGCAAGTTCACCAGGCTGGCTCATTTCTCCTTCCGACATTCTGCGACTTGCACCTTCACGCACCCCAGTTCCTCTACCAGGGCACAGGCTTACACCTGCCGCTGATGCAATGGCTGGATGAGTACGCCTTCAAGGCGGAAGAGCGTCTCGACGCAGATGCGGAGCTCGCACAGAATGTGTACAAGAAGCTCGCGGCAACCTTAGTAGAGAACGGCACCGGTGCCGTCCTGCTCTTCGGCACCATCAAAACAGAGACCAAGTGAGCAGTCACTGTCGCAGGGGACATGATCACCTTATGATCGAGTGACATTAGCCTCATCCTCGCTCGCGCTATGCAAGATGCGGGTATACGGGCATATGTCGGGAAGCTATCCATGGACATCTCTTCACGTCCAACGTACAAAGAAGCGTCCGCAGAAGCCGCGCTCATTGCAGCACAGGACTTCTGCAAGCGATGCCATGAAGAGGTCTCCACAGTAGATGGACATCAACGGCTGGTCGAGCCCGTTCTCACTCCTCGCTTCGTCCCAACATGTTCCAACGACCTCCTCCTGGGGCTGGGCAGACTCGCCGCCGAGCAGAACCTCCGCATACAGAGCCACATGGCCGAGTCGCACGACCAAGTGCAGTGGGTCCGCGCAGAGCGCAAGGCAGAAGACATGGACGTCTTCGCACAGGTATACCCCCATCCCTGCCCTTCCCGCGCCTGGCATGAAGGCGCGTCCCCGAGCTGACTTTCCCCTCCAGCACAGCCTTCTCACCCCGCGCACGGTCCAAGCGCACTGCACCTTCCTCTCCCCCTCCGAGCTCTCTAGCCTCGCCAAGACGGGTACCGCAGTCGCCCACTGCCCGCTCTCCAACGCGTACTTCTCCGCGCGGCCCTTCCGCCTCCGCGAAGCCCTCGCCGCTGGTGTGCCCGTCGGGCTCGGGACGGACATCGCTGGCGGCTATGCGATCGACATCATGAGCGCGATGCGCCAGGCGGTCGTAGTCTCACGCATGCGCGAAGGCGGGCGGGTCATGGCGCGGGATTCTGCTAAGAGAGGCTCCAAAGCGACGGACCGGGAAGAAGGCAAAGACGTGGACCAGGAGGAGTTGAAGGACGAGCCGCTGTCCATCGACTGGAAGGAGGCGCTGTACCTCGCGACGACGGGCGGGGCCGTCGCGCTCGGCCTCCCCCAGGGGATCGGGACGTTCGCCGTCGGGGTGCCGTTCGACGCGCAGTGCAGTGAGTGTGAACATCGCGGGAGTGTTTGCGATCCCGATGGCGCTTAACGATGGCTTGCAGTCGAGCTCTATCGCGACGACGCTGTCGGTATACGAGACGTCGGGGCGATGACTTTCTTCGACGATCCGCGTCCGCAGGGACTGACGGAGGATATGATCGAGAAGTGGTGGTGTCTGGGAGACACGCGGAACCGCTGTGGCGTGTGGGTGCAGGGCAGGCACATTAGCATGGTAGGAATGGCGATGCTGCCGCGGTAGACGTGAATGCATCTGGGGTAGAATGGGCCTTCTTGCATACAAAGGCGAACGGTGAGAGCGATGACTGTCGTTCCGTTGGGTATACCGTGTGTCTAGCAAGCTCCGCGTGACAGACATGTTAACGCATAGCGCACTGAACGCAGTATGGTATCCTTTACATTACGACGCTCATCAGTACAAATACACTCATCCCATCCCTATGGTAGAAAGTCGTGAGTCCTTGAAAAAAAGCTGGGGTAACAATGTCATGCCATATCCATCTTCTCCAACTCCTCCCACGATGGTAACCCAATGACGCCTGGCAATTCAGACCAGATCTTCTCCCTGAGAGCCATAATGTCGTGCTTGAAAGCTCGCCGACAGGGCCTGCAGATCGTTGGGTCGTCGGCGAGCTCGTCGATGGCCTGCACCATGTAGTGTAGCGGCCCTGTCCGGACGACCCATGAGCGCGACAACCGCGTCCCGAGCCGCACGAACGCCCTCTGGCATGTCCCCTTCTGCTCTGTACATTGTGGGCACGCCTGGCGCGCGCTACAGTTCGTCCTGATGAAATCCAACACGACGGTGATTCGGTGCTGGAACATGAGTGTGTAGTCCTGCAGATCGCGGGGCGAGAGCTGGCCGGACGGTCGCGAAGGGTGCTCGACGAGGAGCTTCGGGTGGTCGCCCCGAAGGATGTCGTCCAAGTTGTAAAGGGAGAGGAAGTAGAGCGCAGAGGGCACGACGATGTCCACGTGCGTCTCGCGGGCGAGGTTGAGGACGTGGAGCGGATGCACGTACGGATACGTGAGGTCCCCGACGAGCGGTGCTTTCACAGCGCGCTCGATGAATTGATCATGCCCCCGGAGGGTGTGCGGCCAGGTCTCGAGGAGATGCCGAATGGCTTGGCGGCGGAGGTGGGCGATGAAGTACTTGGTGGAGAGACGCAGGATGCCGGCGACATGGTAAAAATCCTCGATCCCGCGATGCTGGAATATCCTGCATGGGATAGCATGTCGCACGCGCGCGAGTAGAAAGATTCATATATATGGAAGAAATGGAGGACGTTACAACGATGTTGAGCGAAGGGTCATGCACGACGCACCGCGGCGGACTCACGCTCCGTCGTACAACGCGCGAACGAGCGCACTCAGCTCCGTAGGGCGGTCATGCATCCGCACGACTTGGCATCCCTCCGCTACCTCGACATCGGTTGCGTCCGGGGAAGGGAGCTCAAACATTGACTGGAAGACTTCGGAATGCCGAGCGAGCACGCCGCGGTGTAGCTTGAACGCGACAGTGACATCCGAGTCGATGTCCTCGGTGAGGACGACGATATTGCCATCTTCGAACCAAGGCTCTCCTCGATGGTCAGGCTGAATGGAGGCTCCTAGCAGCATAGACGAGTTGCATCCAAGGTATGAGATGGAGAAGAAGAGAGCCCAGAGGAGGCTACGGTCATTAATGTGATGAATTACAAGTCTGTAAACGCCGGAAGCACCTTGCTCGCTGCCACAGCCATCTTGCCGCCGTCTGCTGCTTGTGTCGGGGCCATCGCTCCTTCGTTTCCGGTCTTCTCTATCAAGCTAATCAAGCTCTGCTGTCTGGAGATGGTATAAGTCATTATACGCATCCATGTCGACGACACCACGTTCGCCGCGTTCGCGCGTCCCATCCACTCCATCATCTCGCGTGCCGTCCCGCTCTGTTACGCCAGTCCCCGGTCGGTCTCCGTCGCGCATGGCTTCACCACTTGCGGTGCCTCCTATGCCCTCGCTTTCGAATCTGAGGGTTTATAGTCACGGGTCTTCTACTTCCGCAATACATACCCCACCCACGACCGGCTCACCACCTGGACAAACGCAGCCCGAGAACAGCAGCTCCGCTTCGTCTGTAGTGGAAGGAGTCATTTTCCAGGAACCTGATGTGGAAGTCGACCTCATAGACGGAGAGCAAGGGAGTGCTGCTGGGATGGTAGAATCACGCGCTGGGAACGAGGAATCTAAGAGGAACCTGCGGGACCAGTTAAGGAGAACACTGAGCAAGAAGGAGTCGTCTACGGGTGAGAATAAGCCTTACATTTGGAGAAACAATTCCCTCATATCTTTCTAGATATCTCCGCCTTCAGACGGAGGTATAGCGGGAAGGCCGGATCTATGCAGGAAATTGCACATACACCGGGTGCGTGCAAGCTCGGGTTCTGCATATGCATACGTATGTTGAACCCATCTTCTAGCGGAACAGTATCTACCTAGACAATACTTCGTCCTGACAGATGCCGGTAAACCCGTCTTCGTCAGGTAACTCATTTCGTCTGTTCCAAGGTAGGCTATTGAACTCTGCTCCCGCAACCTACAGCGACCAAGATGCCAATTCGGACAGCGTCACCTCCATGTTGGGCGTCGCCCAAGCTCTCGTCTCCATCTTCCTGGATGACGGAGACAAGCTCCGGACGATCAACGCTGGTAATATGCGCATAGTATTCCTTCTACGGCCACCGTTGTACTATGTCTGCGTGTCCTCATGGGGCGAGCCAGAATCAGTAGTCAGCACTGTCGTTCTTTAACTCTTCATACATGCGCTAATGGTTACGAAGCAAGACCAGGTTCCATCTTGAATACCTGCACCTGCAGATCTTGAGCGTCTTCTCTGCAGAACAGCTGAGACGAATGTTTGAGCAACGGCGAAACTTCGACCTGGGACGGCTTCTAAGAGGTATGGTGTAGCAATTGCAGATAGATTGCGCCTCTACTTACTTTTCATTCCAGGTGCCGAGCCGCTCCTGTACTCCCTGCTATCAAGGCTGGAGTGGGACCTGGCGATGGGCACGTCGTCGCTTCATTGTCTAAAGCTCGACCCAGCTTTACGGAAATGTGTAGCCGACATCCTCGTGCCGACGTCCAAAATCAAGGTGAGTGTTGCAATTGGTGCGGTGTTCGTTGCCTTACGCCTTGACAGGATATCCTCTACGTTATCATGATTGCTCAAGGACGCGTAATAACATTGGTGAGGCCCAGGAAGCACTCCATTCATCCTTCAGGTAATGCGTAGCATGCATTTAGCTCTCCCTCAGTTGACACACCTCTTGTAGACTTGCATATTCTCATCAATACCATCCATTCCCCCTCCATCCTCAACAATTCCGCTACAGCGTCCTACTTGCCAGTCTGTCTCCCCAAATTCAACCCTTCTGCGTTCGTCAACGCATATGTCATGTTCCTTCCGCGAAGCGACCTGCAAGACGCTGCCAAGAAGCCAACATCCGAAGCAGATTCGGAAAGCGTGCGATCTAACCCAGATGAGCAGCCAGCGAATGAAACGGCAAGCTCGAATAGTTCGCCGTCGAGTAGCTCGACTGGGCGAGTTCCTGAAATAGCCCTGGTAGCTGTCAGCGGTAGTGCAGACTTCGAATTGGTTCGGGGCTGGGCGGACAACACGATCCACGTAAGTCGCATTGCTTGCTCGACTGTCAATCACTCCCCGCTCATCAAGTATGCAGAGGCTTTCCCATGATAGCTTATTGAAGAACTTGAATGACGCCATCTCTCAAGGGTCGACGGAGTATTCAGTATCAAATCTTAGTATACCAGGCCTGAGACACTTCATCTACAAGTCGCGATCGCATGTACAAATCACTATGCCGCTCTTTGAGGACCCGTACGATAGTCCGAATGAGAAGCGAAGGTATGTATCGCATCTATGCGCAGCACCGTCTCGCTGACGAAGTTGCAACCAGGCTTGTTACACTGTACCAGACCCTGTATGATGCGATACACGCGAAGTCCGGACAGGAGCACACGCTCAAATTGCAGTACATTAAGACCAGCCAAGAGAGCGTTATGGGATGGGTATGATTTACCACGTCCTCGACTCGGATGGTCCGTCACTGACGAGGTTTGGTTATCAGATTACACAGCCGTTTGAGTTGTATATCGCGCTTTCTCCTCGGCTCCCGAAGAGCGCCGCGGTGAACGCTGCAAACGCCATCGCACGTTGGGTACAGAAGGAAGAGAAGCAGCTATTCCTCAGAGACGCACCTGTATTCTAGAGAACTCCTTCCTGCTCTTTGTATAGAGACGTTGAATACCGCCATTTTTCGGCATCCCTCTGATGACGACCACCGACGCGGGTCAGACTGGTACCACTCAATTCACCACCGACTGCTACGGCAATGCAATGAATTGTCCATTGATGGTTCGAAGCAGTACTACAATGCACTGAAATACACTATGCTACACAGTAATATTCTCTACTCGTGTGATACATCCATGTGAACGATCTCCTCTGGCGGGTGGTCGAGGGCGGTATCCTTGTTACGTCTTTCGGCGAGGAACGCGTCTATACGCTGCTTGAGCTCGACGTCTATAAGTCGGTAAATCATCAGCCAAGAGTCAATCGTCCAAGACCAATAAGACAGGTACTTGGGATGACGTCGTCCAGGGTCAGCGGCATACGGTTGAAGGGGTCTTTGGTGTCAGAGAGTAGATGAGACTTGATAGTGGACCTGTCGACGACAGCTCTGGACGATGGTAGGGTAACAGGGTCCCGCATGAGAGTGTACATGAGGGGATCTATGGGGAAATCATCAGAGTAGCCCATAAGACAAGGACGCTCATCCACTTACCGAGAAACTCGTCTGGGATCTCCCCTAGGTCCTCCTCCGCCTCCAACGTCGCCTTAGTCTCTTCGACCTTCACGACAAACAAACGCAACTTCTCGATCTCATCCGGAGACTTCAGCGACGTCCGCTTGAGGACATCCGCAGCCTGCTCAAAGAGCTCCTTCCGGTAGCTCCGCCCATCTGCCGCTACCGCGCGCGCGAAATCGCCTTGGTCGGACAAGTTGAGATACACCTGGATAATGTCACTGAGGAGCGTTTTCGGGTTGAACTTGTACTTCTCCGGGTTCTTCACGATCAGCTCCCGCGAGCGCGGCCCCACGAGCGTCTCGAGGTTGTAGTCCAACATGGCCGCGAGTCTGTCGACGATCTCGGGAACCATGAAGGGCGCCTTCGTCTCGCCCGTGAAGATCTTGAGGAGGTCTACGGTCGAGTTGCCGAGTTGGACATACCCACTAGCGTGCCGCTCGAGCTGGCGGAGGGTAGCCTCGCGCTCGCGACGGTACTGGGCAGGTTTCGCCTCGAAGGCTTCCCGGTCCTTCATCTCCATCTGGATGTCATGAATCTTGGCAAGCTCGGAGAGCGACTCGTCCAGGAGGTATGTAACGTCATTGATCATTAGATTGACGAAGCGGACGAACTTCTCCTGGTTGTGGCTGGAGACTCGTGAGTGTTTTGCATGAAAGGACATGACGTACACTTACATCGACTCATTCTTCAAGGCGTCACGATGCGCTTGGTTATTCCAGATCGTCTTGAAGATGTAAGCGATGTTTCTCCGGGAGTCTGGCATGATAACTGAGCATCTTGAACAACATCAGCGAAATCCAGTAACCTACTGAATTTATCGTAGAATTGGGAGCTGGCGCCAGTCTGCTCGACCTCTATCGTGATGTCAGCTTTTGTATCTGAACAATCCAAACATTTCCTACCGATGTAGAAGTGCATGAGAGCAGGCATCAGATGCTGGAGCGCGACAGGATGCGTGTTAAGGAGGCTGGTGAGGACACTGCGTTGCTCGCCCCAATTCCAGCACCCGAGGAACAGGACCTCGACAATCTTGGCCTTTAGGAAGGGATTCTTGATGTACCATGTCGAGGTCAGGAATGTCAGACACCAGAGGAGCATCTCGTTTCTTCCTGACAGCTCCAGGCTCTTTGGGCTTTGCCTGCAGGCGCTAATGTTTAGGATTGAGGGCGTGGCAAATGGACTTGAAAACGTACCGAATCACGTAGAGATGGTACTCAATGACATCCTCGACGAGGTACTCAGGCAGCACTCGCCACGCCATTGGGACATCCTTCGGTAGCGGCAAGCTAACGACTACGTGAATACCCAATGCTGACGTCATGAAAAGAGTGGCAGACGCACTCGATGGTAGGATTGGGATGCTTCTGTCGAGGATCAACCTGCCGCAGGAGCCATGTCGATACAAGGTTTGAAAAGCTGATAGACCGAAACACAAGCTCGGGATCGCCGAGTTGTGTCTCGTACGCCAGTTGGGCCGCATACAACTTGTCTTGCTCAGCCTATGCCTAGTCAAAAACTAGCCATGTCGGATGAACGCAAGCCACAGACCTTTCCGGCGTTGATAGCAGCCTCCGTACGAGCCTGATAAGGAGTCTGACCACGGACCGTGAGCATACATCTATGCGCGACTAGCTGATGAAATGTACCCCTCTCCAAGACTGATCGCTCTGGAGGACCTCGAGATGCCTTCGGACGTCATCATGCTGCCTGAGCAGCTCTTCGATGTTGTTGACGAGCTTCATTTGTCCGATATGGTTTGCAGCCAGGGCCAGATAGAAGATATCCGAGATGAAGTTGGGCGGCGCTGCATGAATTGTCCGAGTTAGCTGATAGTCTTCGACGCAAGCACCAAGCGAGCCTTACCAGCTGTCGCCTCGTTCTGCTTGCGCCATTCCTCAGCCTCATCATTCGTTGCATTCACGCGCGTTTCCTCCGTTAGGTCGATCCGCGAGGAGTGCGCGTAATACGCAGGGTCGATCCTGTCCATCTGTGATACACTTCTGAACGTCGAACTTGCTAGTAGCACGATTGTCACACATACCTTGCTATACTGTGCATCCATGAAGGGCTCGCAGAATTGGAAGAGGATGATCTGCAAATTCATGATGAAGGAGTCGGACGACACCGTCAGCATGTCCACCTGCATGCCAGCGCGCTTGCGATTAAGGTTGATGGCACGAGCGAAGTACTGCAGGACCGCCTCTCGCGCGTCCGCCGATGCGCGCACCAGCGTGTTGAATACTTGGAAGAGAGAGCTCTGGAGATGATCACGTGAGCTTCCTCGTTAGGTAGAATCGCTCCAGTTGCTGTGCTGACCTGCAAGGTCTTGAGAGTGCCCCGTAAACTAGCCATAGCCGAGGTGATCTCTCCTTGGGGACGCGTCTCGTGGTTCAGGAAGTACGCGGCCGAGATTGACGGCTAGAACACTGCTCAGCGAACAACTCCGCGCTAGCCATCTGAGCGGACACCTACCCAATCTCGGTGGAAGACACCCAACCTCAGGAGCGGGCCCAGCAAGCTCCTCGTCTCAAACTCGGGCGCAGACGTGGCTTCAGGGTTCCACTCTGGAAGCCTTGTGATCATCGCAGCGATTGGCTTGACACTCACAAGCGCCTCCAAGCCGCTGATCACACTACGCCACCCGTCCCCAGTAGCAAAGCCGACAGCCAGAGATTGGTGAGAGCATATCCGAGTGACGACGGGACCAAGGACCAAGTCAATCTCGTTGTCTGGCTCGAATCGCCGTACAATGTCCTGAAGGAACGTCTCGATTTCGGCGGAGTCGAGAAGGGCACCGGAGGAACCTGCTGAGAGATACGGGCCCGACAGTGCTGAAAGCGACATAAAGGACGGGACAAGTTCCGCTGCACCAAGCTCTTTGCCCGGGACGCTTGGTTGAGGGAACATTTCGGGCTCTTGGAGACTCAGGCCGGTATAGCTGATGATGAGGTCGCGGAGTTTGTCGAGGACGTCGAGTGCTTGTTGTTGCTGCAGTGGTACATAATTCTGCGATTGGATGTCATCGATATAGCCCAGTCTGGAACGCTAAGGGACATGCTCACCCTCTTAAGCACGGCATTTCTAGCTGCATTCAACCGTTTCCAGCATCCAATCAGGTACTCTAGCACGGTCTGTTGTGATGGGAGAGAAGCAAGCACAGGGAGAAACTCAAGATCATCCCTGTGACACAATCAGATCGAGTACGTAGGCAACGGGAAATGAACTCACGACATGGCTTGTGGGTCCAACTCTAGCCGTGCAATCAATGTACGGTCTGCCACTTCAGAGTTCAGCTCCAAAGATAGGCCTAAGAGAGACGTCTATTCAGGACGACCATGTTGACCTGACAAGGTACATTGACATACCATCGCCCTGCAGCTCCTCAGCGAGACTCTTGAGCCACACCATTTCATACCCGCTCTTCTCTGCAACCTCTTTCTACCCAGCACCGTCGGACGCGGCTCAAAACGTATATGACAGACAGGGCATACCTTCAGCGTTACATTGAACACCTTAGAGATGGTCTCGTCCTCCCAGCTGGGTAGATCGAGGTGCACTGGGGTCGCGACCGCGGGAGCTTTCTTCTTATGCGGCACAGGCGACGGCGCGGCAACAACGGGTTCCACCCGCCTCTTCTGGACAGTAGGAGTAGGCGGGGTAGCCTTTGGAGGGGGGTTCGAAGGCGCAGGCGCATGCGAAGGAGCGGGGGAGGTAGAGGTGGACGCGGCCGGGGTAGAGCTCGCGGACGGTCCCCCGAGTTTAGCTAAACGCTTCAAGCGGATCTGTGCCCCTCTCGTCAGCACCTTCCAGTTGTGAGAGCCGTATAGGTATATCGTACCCTCTCCGCGTCAGATTGTGGGTCGGATGTCATGGTGAATAAGATGGTGGAAGGAACGAGCGAGGTGGATTCGATCGGGCGCACACTGCAGCACAGAGCCTGGGTATGGTAAAGCAAGCGCCCATAGACAGGCGAGAGTCGCGGGCGCGTGAGCGTTGACACGAAACCTCCCCGTCAATCGTGCTTGTCTCTTTGCTCCTCGTTCGTACTTTATCCAACCCCGCTTAGCGTCGCCACCCCTTTTACTTGCGACTATGCTCATGCTAGCGCGCGTTCTGGGTACCGCACGACTCTTCTCCACCTCTGCGGTCGCGCAGTTCCCCAAGCTGAAGTCGCATTCTGGGGCGAAAAAGCGGTGGAGGTCAATAGCGTCTGGCATCTTCAAACGGGTATGTTTCCTACCAGTCGCACGGTCGAGAATGTTATTGAACGAGCGATGCTCTGATAGGGGAAGGCTGGACACAAACACTTGAATGTGAACAAGAGCCCCGCGCGGAAAAACGCATTGGGCCAGACAGCGTATTCGAACCCATCACAAACCTCACGGCTGAAGAAGCTGCTACCGTACGGTTCGCCATGACATCTGGATCTTGGGAGGACACGACTCGCATAGACAGGGATTGTGGTGAGTTATACGGCGCCCTGATATCTCTCTCCGCTGAAGCCTTTCCCAGTCGACGTTCCAACTGTATTATACTACACGACTTGTCGTCTAATGCCAATTGGACTCTAAGCTTCTACTTCTCGCTAGTTGATCTCGACCTCTGCTTCGTCTTGCGCATTACTCGCCGCGCGTCCCTCCTCAAGTCTCGCTCCCCCGAAGAATGCGCGAATATCCTTCTGCGCAGGGTCGTGAGCCGCACTGCCGATGCCGCCTTTCTGACGTGTCTACAGCGCAATGTCACAAGCCGAAAGATGAGGGCTAGGCTAGTTGGACCTACCACGCCTGCGAGGTGTTCGCTACGGTTCACGTCGGTGACCCTGATGCGAAGCTTGGGGGGTTCGCTGTCCGGGAAGTCTAGCGGCTGCCCTTCCTTCGCTCCCTGCGTACAATAGGTCGGTCCTCTTTCTGTCAAATCGAACGAAAGAGGAACGAGTTACCAGTACGTCAATCCTCAACCTCGTCCACGCCGTGTTGTGCAGCCCCCTGTACTTGTCTCCGGGGTGCGTGCCGCTCTCATCCTGTACGAGCAAGGCTGGGATGAGCTCGCTGATGCACAAGCCATGGCTCGCGAGAGCGATGTGGACCCCCATCTTCCCCTCCCTCGCCGCCTCCCATATACGGGGCATCACAAGCTCGTTGATCGCCTGTGTGGCGCGCACATACAAGTCGTCCACGCTTTCGCCCCCGGGAAACTTTTGCGAGCGTTCGTGGAGCACAGGCCAGATGCCCCGCGCGAAGTGTTCCTCCAAGGACAAGCCAGGTGTCTGGTTCCACGACCAGGGATTACCCTCAGCGTCGCCGAAGCGCTGCTCTCGGAGGAGAGGTGACTTGACGAGCGGAGGCTTCGGATCCGGTTGGGCGTCGCGGACGGCCTGTCCTGTCCAGAGGGCGCGCTTGAGGTCCGAGGCGTATATGGCGGCGAAGCGAGTGCTAGATAGGGATTTCCCCAACGCTTTGGCTTGCTGCATAGGTCGGAAGGTCTTTCAGCCTCCTGTTAGGTCCCTGGAGCAGAATAGCCTTACGTTCATGCCTGGTGTAACACCGGTGAGCGCCTGGTTAACACCTCGAGTCCCTCACGTCGCTCACCATGATTGCTCAGAGGCGCGTCCTTCCACCCTGCCCAAACATCACGCTAGAGCCATTGTTGTCCATCTCAATGGTCGTTTGTAATATTAACAAAAGAGGCTGCTGCATACCAAATTGTCCGTAGATTCGCCATGCCTAATCTAGGCTTCGGTGTGAGTCAGTTGCGTAGCTGAGCTTTCCGCTGTACACTCACAAATGTAACGACAACTGTGGGTGTGGACTCGGACGACATGGTTGGATTCCAAAGAGCAGTCGCGGGGCTCCCCCACGTTCACCCACGAGCGACTGAAGCGACCCGAGTCAACCCTGCCGCGCGATTGGCGTCTAATACACAAACGCCCGTACTGACCCGAAGAGGCAATCAACGCTGACGTGGCTGACTAAGCGCGGACGGGTGGCAGCGGGAATATTCGCGCGTCCTGACATACGACTGACTGTACGTAGCAGGCCAGCTTGCGTGTCCTCCTCGTCGGTGGACGCGCGTCCCCGCCGTCCAGCTTTTAAGCTCTGTCTCAAACAATTGCATCTATATACTATCTTGCCATTGACTGCCATCTTCTGCTTCCACCGACCTCTTGGATACCACTGTAATCATGTCCGGTTCAGCCACCCCCGAGCGCGACGTCCAGCTTCTCGAGGTCGGCAAGCAATGCTCCGACCCGACCTGTCTTCTCGTCGACTTCCTCCCGTTCAAGTGTCAGCATTGCGCACAACCATTCTGCGGCGAACACTTTCTGCCTACTGCCCACCACTGCGCACAGTACGATGCTGCGAAGCTTGATAGGGTTGCCCCATCTTGTGAGTCCACCATCTATCCTGTCTCTCATGACCTATGGGCGCGCCGCTCACAACCGGGCCAGGCCCTCTTTGCAACACTCCTGTGGCCATACCCCCTGGCCAGGACCCGAATATTCGCATGGAGCGACACATCAACAGCGAGTGCTCTGTCATGACGGGAAGGTCGGGCAAAGCGAATGCTGCTCCCCACTGCGCGCGACCCAAATGTGGCAAGGTGCTCTTCTCGCCTATACGTTGTGATGTGAGCATTTTCCTGTTTTCAAGCTGTTAGGGTTTGTCCCTCACTGAGCTTCCCTTCTCTCCCTTTGCTACTGTTCGTCCCTGTTTCGACAGTCATGTAAGCAACAGTTCTGCCCGCAACACCGCTTCCCCAAAGATCACTCTTGCTCCACGTCTCGAGCATCTGTGTCGAGGCAACCAGCGGCTACGAACACATGGGCGAATGTCCAGAACCAGACGAGTGCCGCGTCGGCTGCAGCCATGGCTGCTATCAAACGCGCCACCGCAACTGCCTCGACAGCTCCGCGGACGCACAGTCAACCGAAGGCGCAACCTCCTTCTTCCGACGCCAAGTCTGGTTCCTCGTCATCTTCACGGTCCAGTCCATTCTCCGCGACAGACCGGTGCGTTATTTCTGTTGCATTTATTTTCAGTGGATCACTCACGGACGTGCAGTCACACTATCCTGTTGACGACTCCATCTTCCCGTTCCATTGCTCCCTCGACATCTGACACAACTGATGATTCTCGCGATCCGCCCGAACGCTGCTCGCCGAAACCTAACACATCTGCTAATGGTTCTACGCTATCTTTCGTACCGCCGCCGCTGTTCGGCATGGCGTAAATCTCGACGCCACCAACTGTATCGATATCACCATTCCAATTCATCTCGCACATGCTTTGTATCATATATCACTATCCTTGACCCAGGCGAGCGAAGGCAGAGCGGGAAAGTCGGAGGAAGGCGATCCAGGCGCGAGCGGCGAAGGGGATCCCGCCTACCGAGGAAGAGAAGGCGTTCTTGGCGGAAGGGAACGGGAAGGACGAGTGCGTGATCATGTAGGACTGCTGCTATACCGTAATGCGGCTCGTTGACTACCCTAGTATTTATCCATTGCACTGTCAATCAAGCTGATCGAAACGGACTACGGGCAATAGTGGGACTTCATTTTAATCCTCTTCCCTGTTTCGCTATTGCACCCATGGTGCTGACTACAAATCAAACGCTCACGGCGCGTGAAGACTCCGTCGACAAACATGAAGGTGAGGCGGTGGCCAGAGACGCATCTACTCGGCCGAGCTGGCCCTCGGTATGTCATTTTCATTCTATAACTGCCCACTTATAGATGCGCGCCCCGCCGGCGTGAATGGAAGTCTTCCACGTAGTTCTCGGCGAGGGTCCGTCGTTCAGCGACTAGCAACTACATCGCTCGCACCCAAGCGATCTTTGGCCGTCAGCCATGCTACGGATCCACCATTCTTCATGTCTGTGCGTCCTATACATTGCGACGTTGTTTTCATAGTTTCCTGTTTGTCCGCCAGACTTCCACCCTTGCTCGTCGGAGAGCGAAGACACCTTCCCTTTCATACAGTCAACACCTCGCGGTACCACAATGGTTCTGCCAGACAACGGCGTCGTCCTGCCCCCGGTGCGCGCTACGATGGCATGGGTGTTGTTCGGTGTGGGCTTTGCGCTCTTGTGCGTGCATCCAGTGCGAGTCCGGTGATGGTCAAGACTGATTACACCCGACCCGTTGTAGGTTCTATGGTATCATGATATGCCAGGCGTATTGGTACTTCCAGACGTACCGCAAGGACCCCATGGACCTGAAGGCCGTAGTGAGTGATGATCGTTTTGGGCAAGTCCGGGGCTGACCAAGTATCCGGTGTAGGTCGCTGCGATCATGTGAGAGGGTCTGTCGTTTGTCTAGGTTTGGCACTTGGCGAGTAACACTTGCTCGATAGGGTCGCGAACGCCATAGACGTTGGTCTCATATTGCATGCTTGGTATACTCTTCAATATATCCGTGACTGGAGTTGGGATATGAGCTCACCGGTCACTATGTAGCTACTACTACGCCGTTGGGAACTACGGGGTCTCAGACGCTTTCGGTGGCCTATCTCCGTATGCAGCCCTTTTACTACACAATGGAACTTGCTAATACAATTTACTATTGGCAGCTCGCTCACGGTACGTAGTCGCAAACGCTACTGTACACACAGATGCTGATCTAGTCCTGCAGCTCATGCCTATCTCAATTGTAAGCTCTTCAGTACCCCGTGAACTACAGTTATTGACAATGAATCGGTGTCTTGTCCAAGTACCTGTGTATCATATTGTGCCAATAGTAAGTTACATACCTATCAGATATCAGACACTAATGCTCATGGGCTCGCCGCTAGTGTCTATATCCGCCGAACCTACCTATGTGAGACATTCGAGGCATCATTTCGTCGTGCGGATACTGATGAGATTATCCAAGTCCTGCCTTCAGAATGGCAGTGGGTATTCCTCGTGTTAGCGGTAAGTGACTTGCTCATATTCTTGGTCGCCGACTGTGATGCCGAACTGTTTCTAGGCTATCGTCATGACGACTGCCACAGGTATGTCATGCAGTTGACACACATGCAGACGTCACTCTAAATTGGTCCTTATTCGAACAGCTTTCATCATAAGTGAGCTCGCATCCCGTGCGACGATATGGCCCACAATTCTAACCTTCCATCCCTCAGTATTGACAGTGCAGTTGTGAGTGAGTGTTCTCGTTTCAGACGACCCGTCCTGAAGCAGGCGCGTAAGGGTCATGCAACCAACCTTCGCGCAATGGCTGAGATTGAAGGTAACTGCCATCATTCTAGGAGGTGTCAAAATTCTTCTACTGAATGCAGTGATTATCTCACGAAGTGGCTCGTATCCGTGGCGTTTGGCTGTTCTGTCCTAGGAGACTTGGCTTTAGCCGGTATTTTGAGCTTGTCCCTCCATGCTAGCCGGACTGGCGTGAAGCAGTGAGTTGTTTTGCGCAGTCGGGGGCTCAAGGAAGAGGAAAGGATTAATCGTTGGGTGCGTAGAACTAACGTTCTCCTCAATACGATCATCTTCAATGCGTTCAGTACGGGCATTGTCACCAGGTGAAGTCAATATCTCGATGACGCTCAATCGAGTAGCTGACTTACAGATGCAAACGCAGTATTCTGAGCATCGCGTGCTTACTGATCGTAAGTCCTCCGAGCCTTACTCTTCCTTGAACTGAACTCTTGGCAGGCGGTATTTGAAGGCAAGAATGTCGTGATCATTCCACTTGCCCAAGCAGCCGCCACAGGTGCGCACTTTGCCTCCACGCCTTGTCCCCTGATCCTGATATTAGTTATAGTCTATGCAAACGCAACGCTCGTCACGTAAGTCTTAAGTGGGCTTTGCATTGTCGTATGCTATAGCTAGTGAACGGTACATATTCAGGCTGAACCTCCGACGCGGCTTGTCCGAGAAGCTCAATGCGCCGGGAGGAGAGAGCGACGTGATCAGCCTCAATCTTTTTCAGTCCTGGCAACAATCCTCAGAAGAATGCGGGAGAAGAGACGGCACCATTACGTTTGCGGGAAACAGGGCCACTTGTTGAGACAGTGCAGATACCTGCGCACTGTTTCATGTAAGCCTCTAACTTCATCGGCGTTCTCGCCCGCAGGCCCAACCTGAGGCCTGATCGCTCGGGGCTAAGGGATCACGGCGAAGAGGACGCCCTTGGCAGCAGACGTCGGCGGACAGCTCATTCCTATACCTGGATGATAGGACCAGTGCTTCTATATTATATCTCCCCGAGGTACTGCGGATGCGAATTTACGTACAACTTCGTGTCTGTATATCCTAGTCCTATGGCGTTAAATCCTCATTGCCCCCTGCTCGCTGTCAACTACTTCTGTGTTCTTGTTTGCTAATAGCAACTACAATGTATATCCAGGGGAAGGATGTATAACGAGTGCCACAGCCTAGCCTGCCAGCGCTGCCAGCGGCGCCAATCTCTGAGTGTCGGCGTGGCGGTGCAGACAAGACTCCTTTTACGTCCATCGCTGTTAGGCTCTAGCCCTCTTCCGTTCATCTTGTTTCTTGAGCTTGTGCGCACCCCTTGATTTACGTGCATGGTATACGTACGACCCCACCGACTGCTGCCCTGAGATAGGGAATATGTCGGGAAGACCATCGGCCGCTTGACCGAAGGCCCGGTTTACCCTCCTTGAAGCTTGAACGTTTACGATCGCACACGCGCTGTCGGTTCTGCGAAGAATTGCGATCGAGAAGAGCTACGTGCAATTTTTGTTCGACTGTACACAATCAGGTGAGTCTCAAAATACTCTAGTTGATTATACGGTATTGGCAGCAGAGGATCGGGTGCGCGTACGCACCGAGATCATGCTGCAGTGTACGTATTGATACTTACACGTCGAGTCATGCACATAATTTGCACGGCTTACACGAAATTTTACTGCGGTAGAGTAGGTTGGATGGCGCTCTTCGAACCTTCGGGGCCTTTCCGGTCCTCTGTAACCCCGTGCTTCAGGCCGGAGCGGCCTCATTATGCGATCTTCCTGCATGAACGGCTCACTCGTTTCTCGGACGTTTATGCAAACACTCATTGCATCAGTTTTCCAGGTCGTTTTCACAACGGTGATCATCTTGAATATACGCAGTCATGGCGGCGTGGTCTCTTGAATTGATACAATATATCGGCGTAGCTGTGCAGGAAGATTGGTACTAGAATTTACAATGTCCATGTTGCAGCTAACTCTGGTCTAGGCGATATCGTAAGTGCCCTCAACATTAACGGCACCGTTTTCATGGTGCAATCTCAATGTGCGTCAGTCTCCGCTGCTGAACTGTCGTCGGTCTTGAGACTACTGACGGCGATTAGTTGACTTACCGGGGCACCCATCTCATGAGTTTACTCTATTTTTACTAGAGCACACCGTGCGCTAGGAACAACAGGGGTCTTCTACCTAACAGGTATCACGTAACATTCTATATCGGTTGGCGCAGTCCTGCGTATTGTGAGTGCTTCAGCGTTTGCTCAGTTGAAGGCCCACGGCATCGAATCTGCTTTCGAATTTAGGGTTCAAGATTCTCCACCCACATTATGCTCCTGTGACGTGTCATGAGCGATATACGTCCGCGTTGGAGAGCATGCATGCCTACGTATAGCGAGTTGGTACGGTTCGCTCCTTCTATCCTGCATGCAACGAATAACAGCTGATCTTCCAGGTGGACTCTTTGTGGAAGCCATGCATCGTCTGGTACAAGGGCCCTGGCAGCTCCGCAATGCCACATTGAAGGCACGTCTTGGACTTCTCGTCCTGCAATGCCCGTGTACCTGAGCTTTCAGACCCTCAGTATCAGGGAAATAAACTCGAAGACTCATCCACGCGTTGTCTGATGCTGTGGGATCGACCACTCTCGTATGAGGCAGCACATGGTCGGTTGATTCGTGCTGACCCGGTTCGTCGTTGACGCATTATCTCAGTCAGGGTATGAGGCTCACTTTTCGCCGACGTTGATATCGATAGCAATTCACGACCGCATCGACGGTGGCAATCGGACTTCCGCTTACGCCGCGAACCCTCAGGATATTCTTCAGGCCCCGCCACCTTCGGCCGGCTGTACCATCCATCCGTTCTAGGTGCGGAAACGTGTCGTTTGGCGCCTCATGTGGACAAACACCGATCGGGGAAGCTTCGAGTCGACGAGCTTATCGAATCAGGTACCGCCTATCGTGAAACTACGGGGGACGTTGTCGACGTCTCACGTGTTCGTCAAAGTAGATATATATTCTGATGCTCGAAGACGTCGAGCAGGCTATCCTACTGCGATGTCGCCAATCTCCTCGTCGCCCACCATTTCAACCTCGCTGCTCGCGTTCGTATCCGATGACATCCCGGACGTACAAGTTAGTCTTGCCTGGGTCTTTTTCGGATTGCTCGTCGGGTTGCTGTATGTGATTTGTCTATACAAGCCTTGACCTGATCGCTGACATGGGGCAGGTTCTACGGCATCATGCTATGCCAAGTATACTGGTACTTTAACACCTACAAGGACCCTCGTGTGCTTAGGGCTTTAGTATGTATGACACTTATCCCTTGGGATTATCACTGAGACGTCAGCCTACAGGTAGCTGCTTTGATGTAAGTCTCCCCAGTAACTCACATCTATGCATGCGATTAGCTGACGGCACCTTCTACAGTTTAGCGGAGACGGTACACACGGCGTTGTCTATGCATTGGGGGTGAGTGAATGCCGGCGAATGAAGTTTATAAGGAACTCTGGAGGGAAGCATTGAACTCCAGTTATTACTACTTGGTTTTTTCCTATGGCGATCCAAGTTCTCTATCGTCTGCAACTTTGTAAGTCTGTTGGGAGTTGGTGTCCTATGCACCGTAGTTGCTCACGCAGGCTATAGAACTCTGGCGGTGTGTGACAGTGTTCTTGGCACGACTCGATCATGAAGTGAGCGAGTAGTGTCGCAATCAACGCAGCTTCTACCTGTGACAGTGGTGTGTAACCAATGCGGCAGCTATTGGATTGAACGGCTGAGATACTGACCATATCATGCATCAGTCTATGGTTGTACTGCTCTGCCAACTGTAAAGTGGTCATCACCTGTCACAGTTACATAGCGCACTCAATTCCTATCGGCGACTTACAGGTTTTACATCCGCCGGGTCTACCTCGGTAAGGTTCTCGTGTTAATGGGAAGACTACAATCAATTCACTCATTCTACTCAGTCTTACCTCCAGTCTATAAGCAAATTTTCATCACAGCAGTGGTATGACCATTCATATGAACTTCCATTGCAACAGGTAGTGATCTCATTCTAGACAATGACCCTGTTGTGCGCAATTGGTGAGTATATACATAGGCCCTTATGCAAAGAGGACTCAATGGTTCATATTTAGGCTTTTCCATAGCTGTGATGGCACAAGTGTAAGTTTTACAATCATCTCAATGACTTTGTGACATTGAGTGTGCTTTATTGCAGCTTCATGCACCCCACCTACAAGAGCTGGCTTCACTACAAGGTCAATCAGGTGATATAGGTCTGATGTGTTCAAGACTTATGATATCTCTCCAGTGGCTTGTAGCTGGAGCCTATGGCCCTGTTGCCCTGGGTGATCTTGGGATAGCAATAATCCTTGTAATCACCTTGTGGAAAAGGCATACTGGAATAAAGCGGTGATTATCCTTACAATACATTCACATGGAACACCAATGAACTGATATAATATAAGAACTGATGCCCTTCTGAAGGTCCTGAGTATCTACATCTTTAGTACAGGTGAGGCACTCTTAATATGTGCTTCAGTTGGTGCTGACACCAATTTTCAGGGGCATTCACTAGGTGAACAGGCCTCATTTCTGTTGGTCTGTGCAAACACTGATGTCTGGGATTGAGTAGCATGCTTGGCATGACCTGTCTATGTGTTGTAAGGAGCCTCTATGCCCTTGGCATTGTGTAAGTTTCATTCTGATCCTTCCACTAGGATCTGTTTGTGAATACCAGCGTCATGGTCATCCCATTCGGCCTCACTTCAGCCCATGGTAAGATGCTTCATGATTGAAGGATATATATCTGACGTAGACTACTAGTATATGCATTTTCGGTACTTGTAACGTCAGGGAATTACGAGACCCGCTAGTGACCCGGAGGCTTATTGATAAAGTATCGAACAGGTTGAACCTGCGTCAAACACTAGCCCAAGCATTAAACAAAGATTTGGATACGGAATGGGTTGGTTTCAGCGCGTTGCAGCGCGTTCTACCGGCAAAAAGCCGCCGCGTCGTTGACTCAAGCGTCGTGCATGTGAGTACCTACACCCCGTCCGTCATGAATCTCTTAATAACAGAATCTTAACTCACAGACGCACAATGATGATATGCCAATCACGTTTGTCGAAGCTCCAGAATCGCTACTTCCTACAATCTCGGGCAGTCCCCGTTCGTGTACCGGAGGGCCTGATTGCCACATCTCGGATGTATGCGAGCCAAGGCTCACCACCATATCACAATTGCAGTCGTAGAGCCCTGTACTAGCCTTCAATATGCATACTAATTCCCACATGGACGTCGATCTTGAAGCAGTCCACATAGAAGCGCCATGAGAAAGCGTGCGCCGGGACGGCCTGTAGTATGACCGAACGATATGTGTCACATTGTGTAGAGGAGAGCTCAGAGAAGGACTGATAAGTTCATGTATCAGGATAGAGGAACAGGTCGCGAGCGTGTCGGTATCCACGAGTGGCGCGCGCGGTGCGGCTTTCCGCCACTGGCGCGTATGCCGAGCGCGACGCGCCGAGCATCCTCCTCCGAGCCACATCCCTCTATCTTCTCGCTCTTTGATCTCCCGCCAAAATCCGCCCCTTTTCTCGTGCCAATAAACATGTCGGAGACCGAGGACAACGCGACTATGTTAGGGAAGCGGTCTCGGAACGGTCAAGACTCGGATACCGGTAGGCTGGAGGATGTGAAGGAACGACAGGACCAGATGGACACAGGCGATGATGACGACGACGACGAAGTAGGTCCCATGCCTATGCCTGCCGCTGCGGAGGGACGTGTCGTAAAGAAGAAGCGGAAGGGTGCGTCTTGCATGGTCAGGCCTTGCGCATCGTCCCACTTGAACGGAGTCCTGTAGTCCTACCCCACGAGAAGCTCTACCTTGATCACCTCCCGAGCGCGGATCGCTACTACAAGAGTTTCATGCACAGAGATGTCATCAATTTCAACGTCCTAACAAGGTACCCTCCCTATTCCCTCTCTGCCCAAGCTATGACCGAGCGACATCACCCTCCCCGTTTAGAACAGAATTCTTGATCACAACGTCCGTCGACGGACAAGTCAAGTTCTGGAAGAAACAAGAGCAAGGCGTAGAATTCGTGAAGCTTTACCGCGCGCATCTCGCACCTATCGTTGCCGTGTCCGCCAGTGTGGATGGTCAGCTGTTCGCAAGCGTTGCCGAGGATGGGACGGCGAAGGTGTTCGATGTTATCAACTTCGGTGCGTCCTCTTTCCTCATGTCGGCGGCACCATCTCATCCATTTGGCCATAGACAACATCAATATGCTAACTTTGGGGTATAAACCTAACGCATGTTGTTGGGTTCATAAGCGTGGACAGGCGATGGGAGTGCTTGCGATGTACGTGACCGCTTTCGTGTCTGCGCGACTTCCTAACTTGTCGCTTAGTTCTGAACGCGGTTCGGGTACCATTCGACTGTACGACGGAAGGGGCGACGGGAAGCCGCTGGAAGTCATCGACAAGTTGCACCGTTTTCCCGTACACGTCATGGCGGTTTGTATTCTCCTCCCCTCGTCAGGTTCCGTGTAGTTGACACTACGGCGCAGTATAGCGACCGGTACAACTGTGTTATATCCGCCGACGAAGGTGGCTTTATTGAGTACTGGCAACCATCAGAACCATTCGATCTGCCAAAGAACGTCCGCGGCCTATGGAATTACAAAAGTGACACAGATTTGTACGAGTTCAAGAAGGTACGTCATACTATCTGCTGCGCAATATATATTCACCCTGTCTTGCAGTCAAAGGCCATTCCGACATGTATCACACTATCCCCTGACTCCTCACAATTCGTGACGTTCTCCCTTCCTGACCGGCAAATACGCATTTTCTCCTTCCTTTCGGGGAAAATGGCTCGAAAATATGACGAATCTCTCGCCGCGATACAGGAAATGCAGCAAGCGGGTACCGCAATATACAAGGTCGAAGATATGGAGTTCGGACGTCGCTTAGCTGCCGAGCGCGAGCTAGAGCTTCCTGGAACGGACGATCGCATACCAGGAATGTGGATTAATGCAATCTGGGACGAGAGCGGTTCGTTCGTAATCTATCCAACATTGCTGGGAATCAAATGTAGGCATTGTTGGCAAACGTCTTGCAGGATGTCGCTCATGAAGCTGCGCAGTCGTGAACACTGTCACGAATAGAGTTGTGCGATTGTTAGGCAAGGACGAAACTGTCCGGTTCATGCACCTCACATTGTACCAGGGTGCACCGGCGAAGAAGGGGCTTACGACGTTGGTGCGTTCTCCACAAACCCTGCTACCACAACTGCGGTTTTCACAAGTATTCTCTTGAACTAGGCCGCAGCTGCATCCGCCAACCCCCTTCTTGCCGAGAAAGGCGTGCGCGACCCCACCCTTGTATGTACTGCCTATAAGCGCCAGCGATTTTATATGTTCACGCGCTCTGAACCTGAGTATGTCACGACCCATATCCCGCTAGTGTTCGTCGCTAACATGATAACAGGGACGATAAATCCGGCGATCGTGATATCTTCAACGAGCGACCAACGCGCGAAGAGCAAACCATCGCTGCTGCCGCGCCGGCAATCAAGGGCGGTCCGTCACCCGTGGCGAACAGTGCAACGATCCACACAACGTTCGGAGATATGCACCTTCGCCTCTTCCCCCAACAGGCCCCGAAAGCTGTGGAAAATTTCGTAGGACACGCACGCAGTGGCTACTACGAGGGTGTGATCTTCCACCGCGTCATTCCGAAATTCATGATCCAGACTGGGGACCCCCTTGGCGACGGTACCGGTGGAACATCTATCTGGAACAGGGAGTTCGAGGATGAGTTCTCAGACGACCTCAAGCATGACAGGTTAGTTGCCGTTGAGCTCATGTCGTCCTTTGAGTAGGAAAGAGCTGAATGGCGCACACAGGCCATATACTGTCAGCATGGCAAACGCGGGTCCTAACACGAACGGCTCTCAGTTTTTCATCACGACCAACGCTACGCCATGGTTAGACAAGAAGCACACGATCTTCGGTCGGGTGCTGTCCGGACTGGAAGTCGTGCACGCGATCGAGAACGTCAAGACGAACAAGCTCGATAAGCCGTATGAGGATATCAAAATTGTCAACATCGATGTCGAGTGATATGTAGCCGCATACCGATGTATTTACATGAGTCCCGCCCGCGTTGTTGTATCCTCATCTACGCGGTACTGCCAGCTCCTTTGGGGCGCCTATCATCGCTGAGAGCGACCACAATCTCTAGACGTTCTACGACGTCCCCTCACTCGTTTGCGGGTCTGGCTTGCGCACCAATTACTGACCCGACGCTCTCAAGTGCTGCATGGGCGATCTGCTTCGACTTGACCCTCACCCCACTGCTCGGAATGCTGCCGTTGCAAAAACTCCCATCAAAGCTGGATCTACGATCATGTCCGTCCCGGCTTTCTCGACCTGTCTTCTACTCACGGAAAAAGGAAGGAGATGCGATGGATGCTATATGCTGAAGTCGGAAGCAGTGGAGCTTATGAGATGCTCTGGGTGCGCCTCGTCCTGGTACTGTGGAACGACATGTGCGAGGAGACATCCGCTCCCTGGTTCCGTGCGCTTACATGGCGTTCAAGCCAGGTCAGAACAGGGAGTGGAGGCTCCATCACAGGAAGATGTGCAAACATTACAATGCCTTTGTGGCTTCAGGACAGTACCAAGCGTTGACACCCCATGACAAAGTGGATGCCATACTCCTCTCCCAACTGGTCGCGGATCCTGAGGCCTGGGGGACGGATAGACTCACTGATGCCGGACGCACCTTCTTGAACCTCCTGAAGGTTCCGAGGTTAGATGGCTTTGTGCCACCTCTATGCCTATCGAGAGCTGCTCAGACGGCTGGGACAGTCGCACTCGCTGAGGATCTCTACTCGCGCTTTGGCAACAATAACTTCATCCTGCATTCCCACCTCACTTCCTATGCCCATGGCGTGTTCCCACTCGCGAGCCGTCTTCTCAATCACTCATGCGTCCCGAATGCGGCTTGCAAGTACATGCTCGCACCTTCGGAGCCGGTGAGGATGGAAGTCGTCGCCTTACGTGACATCAATGAAGGAGACGAGGTCAGATCTCGCGCATGCACTCTCACGTCCTCCACGACCATGCATTCACACCCCACGCAGGTCACAATTCCATATCTGGATCCGGCTCTTCCATTTCAAACGCGCCAGGATGCGCTGCACGTGAATTACGGGTTCGAGTGTGGCTGTAGGTTGTGCACCTTCGAGCGCCGCATCGAGCGCGTCCCCACACCACCCATGAGAGGCGCCGAGGAGTTAAGAACGTTAGATGCGGCCCTCCGCTCTTTCTCCCTCGGGGACATCAGCCAGGATGTACAGGTCCCGACAGTCCCTGGATCGTTTGAGCGGCTGCCGGCAGTGCTTCTTCCCGTCCTGCACGAGTCGTACCTCCCAGCCTTGTCCGAGGCATTCAGCAAAACTTCGCACGAAGGACCATACTCAGAGGCCATAGACAGCGGACTGACGCTGCTGGCGTTTTACGTGATGCTATATCCCCCGAACTACCCACAGATTGGTGAGACGATCGGAACATACACTATCATCACCGGTCAACTGACGTGACGGCGTCGAACAGGTATGCACGCGCTTGAGCTAGCCAAAACTCTGTGGAATCTAACCTGCACGGATGCTAGTGCAATGGCAGGTGCGGACGAGGAGCAGTTGAGAAGGCACGCTAAGACCGCGCTTGATTTCGCGGCGTCAGTTCTGCAGAACTTCGGTCCAGAGGGAGATAATGGAGGGCCGCTGGAGGAAGTTAGTGTATTGACAGGAATGTTAGCAGAGCAATGATTGCCTATGCAAGACGTAGCACCCTGCGACAGAACTGCCCAACGCCATGATATGTCTGTCCGACACAGATATGTTTGTAACCGCGAATATCTCACTGGTTCCCATCGTAGTGGGAAGCTAAGTCAATCCCACATGTTAGATTATGCAATGGAGTCGGGCATGCCTAAGCGTGACAGGGCGCAGCATGCTAGGTCATATGTCTAACGACTGAATGGCGGCGGCAGCAGCCTGAACGGAGCCGACTGTCAGATGCACCGACTTCTAGGGCGGGCTTAGTGCGGCCGAATCGCTCTCGAACGCGCGGAGTGATACTCAGAGTGGTCCGCCATCCCCTTCGCGAGAAGGCGCGAAGTATGGAATACGGGGAAGTCAGATAAATGACCGTGGTTCTACGAACATAGGAAGCTTGTTCCGATATGTCTCGGGAGATCCATGGTAAGTCCGACGGGCAATCTTAACTCTCGCTCTTGCAGACATGAACTAGGTGCGGCATACACCAATCGATGATCTGATCATATTTATAATGCGTATTCACTCGCAATGGGCTCAGCGGGCACGGTATGAGGAAGGAGGGACACCGGTAGCCACCGTATATAGCCTTCGCGGCCATGGAGGGGCACGGTTTTCCTAAGGTGGACATTCTCCTCGAGGCGTAATAGCGCTCTATTGCCAGACGCCGCACGCTGCAATCTTACCGAGGGAAGCTAGGCATGACTCCTGTCGAAAGAACTCACTAGCCCCATGTGTATCATCATACCGAGACCAAATGCGCGAGCCAGAGAGGCTATCATGGAAGCATTAGTCGAATCGAGGCTATCATATAACGCAGAGGATCATGAACAGCTTTCGGTGCGACTGGTGGGCCGTTCACTCGCCCCACCTCTCCTCTGATACTTTTCTGCCTTCCTGACGACACCACCGCTCGTTTCTTCGACACCGCAATGTCGACTCGTCACTCCTTTCTCTCCACCACTGGCCTGATCAGGCCGATTTCTGCGGCGTCCGCCGCATCTGTAGCGGACAGCTACTATGTTCCGAATCGGCTTGCTCGTTCCGAGGGCACAACGACCGGAAAGCCCATTGCCATGCCACAGCCCCATGTGAAGAAGCCACCTACCACCAGAGCCGGGATCATACCGCTGGGACCTATGGTCATCGTCAGTATGGCAGTCACCCTGTCATTGCTGTTCACCGCCGCCATCTCCCTTGCCTTCATCCCGGACGATGATAACACCTCTGCCATTGCGAGCATGCTCGACGATGTAGCAGCTAACACACCTGGAGTAAGTCTCATTTGGTCCTGTTTTGTGCCACGGAGATACCCACGAGCAGTGCAAGATTGTGCTATTCGGTGACGACGTCGACGTCGATGTCGACGAGCCTGCGTTGACCATTCGTTGGTCAATCATTGGTTGCGGGGACGGTTTTGTCCTCGAAGGATCCGAGGGGACCCACGGCAGCCAAAATTGCGGGCTGCCGTCTATGGCTCTTGAATTCTACGTCGATGGGTAAGCGGTCACTCACGCACTAAGAGGAGTATAAAAAAGGCTTACGAGTACAGCGAGGAGGGGGCCGCGGGATCATACAACCCCGACCTCTTCCCGTTCTTCAAAGGCGGCGGACAAAGAGACAGGTGGGCGGCTGTGGCCCTGAAGTGCATATGCAAATCAGTTGACTCGCACTCCAGCATACAGAACATGTTCCAGTTCGATGACGATCATGTCCTCAATGTGCATGAAGCTCGCCTTTACCCATTCGACAATTACCGCATGACAACCTCGATTCGAGCGGTATCCACCGCGGACAACGCAACCGTGCCTATACAGAAACTAGCCACAATCTCCATGACATCGAGCTTCGTCACCTTATCCAGCGACACGGAAAGCGCCGTCACCATCCCGAGCGGATCGGGGTCAGACATGCCCACGAGGGATCTAGTTCTCCAAATTAGTCGACCAGCGGATCTTCGAGCTTATGCATTGCTTCTCTTCGGGACCAGCTGGATGCTCGCGCACGCGACTATAGGCTTGGTGGGGATCTCGTGGTCAGTAGATCGCGGGGAGAAAATGCTGCAATACCTCGGAATCACCTTCGCCATCGTCCTGCTCATCCCGCAAATGCGCAACGCAATGCCTGACGCTCCAGGTTTCGATGGTAAGTCGATATGACGTGTCATGTAGCTTGTGAAATGTTTGCTAATGATGGTTCATAGGGGTCCTGATCGGTGAGTTTCAGTATCCTCCCGCCAGAAGACCCGCGGGTCAAGTCTGTTAGAAGTCGCTGACCACATTCTTTGTAGATGCCATAGGGTTCTTTCCGCAAATGCTGGTATGCGGCGCGTCAGCTATCATCATGCTTGGGAAGATGGCGAGAATCGAGTTACAGCACCTCGACGAGTCCGCAGCCGTAGTGGAGTTCCAGAAAGAAGCACCCGCACCTTTGTCAACAGGGCTTCTGAGGATGCGGAGAGGAGGATCATCCGTGGACATTCGCCATATCCGAGACTTTAGCATCAATCGACCGGCTTATGGACGCTCTAGGGCCTAAAAATCTTTAAATCATCTTTTTCATTCCCGGAGCACTGTGGTGCGAAATTTCAGGACTCCAATGCAACAATAGTGTTATGGAGACTGCAATTCTAACGTCGATCACAGCGGTATCCGGGATGCTTGTATTTCTTGCGCACGAATCAAGGGACTTACTTTGCGATTAGCGCGAGTTCATCTTCTGCAGCACGTAATAGCAAGAAATATTAGCTGTTTCTTCTCTGATGTGTAAATGGGCTGGAAACGCAAAGTGGAGACATGGTGGATGAATCGATGAAGGTCAAGTTGAAGAGGTGCTCGTCAACGCGTAGGCGCCAAAGTACTGTGTTCCGATGCTGCCACGTGACCGAGCTAATGACGCACGCCACGTTCGCGGCTGTTAAGCGCGCGACAGGATGCTGTGGCACGTCGAGGACGGCGAAGACCATCATGTTCTCCCACTGTGCTTGCTGTCTCCTCTGCGCCTAGCTTGCTTTTGCAACCTGAAGATACCATAAATACCGAAGTACAGGCGCAGAGACCAGGAGAACCATGCCGGTCGGGATTGAAGCTTGGGTCACTCAGATTCCACCCGTAACCCGGGCATGGCTTGCACTCTCAGTGCTAACGAGCTTAGCGGTTGTGAGTGCCCGTCCATTCTTCTGCCGTCCTAATGAACGCGAACCTTGTGACACCTTGTAGCAAACGCAGCTTGTGACGCCGCTGCAGCTATATTTCAGCTTCAAGGCGGCGTTCACCAACATGCAGGTGAGCACGTTCCTTCGTCTCGTCAGCTCCCAGTCTTCTGATACCGCGATAGCCGTGGAGAGTCTTCACCACGTTCTTCTATTTTGGAACGATATCACTTGACTTCATCTTCCATATGTTCTTCTTGTGAGTTCGCCGTTCCCAATGACACCATTGGAATGCGAGATGACATATGCGATTGTAGCATGCGCTACAGCCGGATGCTCGAAGAGTCGTCCTTCGCAAATCGCAAGGCTGATTACTTCTGGCTGCTGTTTCTCTCCGCACTCATGCTTCTGGTGAGTCCGTCCTCTCCTCACCAGTGCCACCTTCGCCACTTGGATTGACACGGTGCTCTTCCCTTTCTCCTTCTTCCCTATCTTCGCTGTTACACTCCGCTTACTCGCTGCCGCTCTGGCTTCCGCAGGTGCTATCCCCTCTAGTCAACTTGCCGTTCTTATCCTCGCCGCTTGCCTTCGTGCCAATCTATCTCTGGTCTCGGCGACACCCGTCAACGCCCATATCTCTCTTTGGCCTGGTCACAATAACGGCCCCATACCTTCCACTTGCTCTCGTCGGCCTTGCGTGGATATTGAACGGAACGTGGAGAGCGGCAGCTGGGGACCTCCTTGGTTGCGCCGTCGGTCACGTCGGATGGTTTGTACGTGACGTCTGGCCCCGCGAGATGACAGGGGGCCCGACGTTCCTGAGCGAAGCGCCAGAAGCTCTGTGAGTGTGCCTCGTTATTCGCAGAATCCGTGAAGGCTGACAGTGACAACGCTTTGGGCAGCAAACGCTTCTTTGGTGACATCTGATTGGAGATAACGACTCTGTACGATAGCCGGGTTACAATCCGCAGTACCACCTCCACGTGGGGGAATATAAGTTGTTTCCGCCGGACCGCTGCTCCAGGATTGTGCCATCTATCCGCATTCCGCATCACCTCGCGGGAGACGTCAAGAAATGCTTTCATGGCAGGCATGCATCACTATCGCCGTTCCGGGCTATGGGATGAGCCCGACGTTCGGGCGCCGTGTCAGAGTTTATCGGAGCGCGGCTCCAGCTCGGTGTCAGTGTTGACCAAGCAATGTTCTCAGGAGACGCTGCGGTGACTATCAAGGCGCATGCCCGATGCCGATGAATCACGAAGCCGTACGGAGGGGTGAGTGCCTGACGACACGACAGTTCCTGAGGGACTGTGGTCAGTGGCAGATGTCTCCGCCGCCATTGCAGCGGTCCATATTTCAGGACAATACTCTTCAGAAGATTGCTCCCAGTCATGGCTTCCGTGACGTACGAACGACACGCCACACAGCGGCTCCGAAACGAAGACAAGTTCTCAGCAAAGACAATTCACGCACTGCGGACTGAGGTTTGTCTTCCCATGCTTCTCGCGCGAAACCAAGCATTCGACTCTTGTTCTAGAGGCCGAGGCCGAGGCCGCTATCTCAATAATCATGCCACAAATCACGCCATACTGGATATGTGGCTTTTAAACACTGCTTTGAACGAATGGGGCCCGCCTATGATATGCAAGTAATCGCGCCTTCCAGGATCGGCCGCTCATTAGTGTTCGATGCAAACCTTGAGCGTGACTGCGATGTGATGAAGCTGCGAACTACTGCGATGTTTCCTGTAGTCACTCGTCTTTGATGACAGCATAGGGAGGATGCAATGCCTTTGTCTAAGTACGTCTACATGGGACCAAGATTCAAGAGGCACTGTGGGGGATGTTGATTATAGGGTATATAGCCGATTAGTCGACATCTTCGCCCTCTATAACGCGCTCCCCATCTTCGGAGAACTTCACGTCGTTCTACGGCGGTGTGAAGGCGGTCAGTACCGAGGCAACGTCATCGGCAGCCATGTGGTGCAACTGCAGGCTGCATAGATACGAATCAAGAATAGGGATAGGGACACACCTTGTGCCCGGCTGATTTCCCGACGTACTTGGTGTGATCTGAGATACACGGAGAAGAAGAGGTGGGTGGGATGTGTGTTGGGCGAGATGGCCCAAGCGAGCGGTTTGTTTGAATGACGGACAGAAGAAAGGCACGATGGTCAATCGTCGGCTCCAAGCCCTCATCATTGACAATCAGCTGCACTTACGGCCGTAGGCGGCAAGCTGCCCTTGGGCGTTGTAGAAGTCAACCCGGGTGTACGCAAGCGACTTGCCTAGTCGCGCAATTTCATATGGAAATCGCACGGAAAACACACACATGTGAAATAGAGATTGTGCTCAGCTGTAGACGTAGCTGCGGGTGTGATTGGACGGTAACTCACCGAGGGCAGTGACGACCGCTTTCGCAGTCAGCTCATCGCCAACGCGGCCAGCGGGTTTGACGAAGGACGTGCCAATGTCGACGGAGACACCGGTCATGTACTGGCCTTTTGTGGCGACGGCGAGGGAACCAAGCGTATCCGTGAGGGACATTATGAGCCCGCCATGTGCGGTCTGTCATTCCTTATCGTCAGCCAAGCTTTGCAGGCTAGTTGAAATCGGTCCAAAGAACGATTGAGCGGGTACTAGACAACATGAGACACTCACGCCAACACGGTTGACTGTTCAGAAATCAGATGCACTTGAGTACAGCGTCGAGAAGGGGTACAGGAACAGAACAGATACTAACGATTGTAGGGCTCGATCTTGAGGGAAGCACGGAGCTCGCCAGGCTTCGCGTCAAGGATCTTGAGCTGTGGAGATGCAAACATAGTTGTCGGTTCCCAGGGATGTCATCAACACCCTACGTTGTGGGAACAGGAATGTAAGAACGCACATTTGGGAAACATTGCTGGTCGTGCCCTATGGACGGGTCAATTGTTCAGAGACTGTCGGACAGGACAGTGCGCAGCGCGCACTAGAAGCACCATAACGTAGAAATGGGCGACTCTAGGCACCTTTGTTCTCCACGAACGAACGCCATACCTGGGAGCAGTTTTGCAGAAGACAGTGAGATGCCCATCTCCTACTACTCCACGATCGTACTACGAATTGGAGAAGCTTACCCGTCGGGTGAACCTGAGGCACGCAGCCATATCTTGATACAGTGCTTCTGAACCTATGGCGCACGAGGTTCAAGCGCAAGTTGTGTCCTGCGTCACGATATCGCTCCGTTGAACTCCTTGTCGAAGGACTCCGAACCGGTTTGGGATTCGGAATAGTATCGGGAAAAGTCACGTGAGATTGCAAGAATGCTTCCGACGCGACGCGCGGTCGTGTCCGACAGTGCATTGGTTCCGATTTCTCATGCACCACATGAACTATGTCGGGTCTACTCAACTTCCTCTGACGGTTTGATGTGTTTCTCGTGAAACCCGGAATGCAAGAAGCAGCTGTCCAGCCGCTCTAAAGCCTGTTTTCGTCCCCGGTGTACCGCCAAATGTGCAACAGTCCCAACTGTCTGGACGAAACGCTCTGGATAGTACTTGTGGCAACACTTCTGCTGCGAACGGGTCACTGGCGCGGCGGAGATTGGGCGAACGTGAGAATACTGGGGGAGATTTCTGCGAATGCCATCCAACTCAGGATCGGAACGGACTGCCCGCATGAATCTCAAGGTGGCTTTTTTCTCCGACGAGAGCGTAGTGATCATACAGGTAAATCTCTCCCAACTTCCGTTCCGGATCGGTTTCAGGCCGTTTGACAGTGCACTCCGGTGGCGTACTACACCCTCAGGCGGCTCACAGCTTGTGCCGATGGAATTTCACAGCTCCAACCTTGTTCCTTTCAATTGGACACGCGGGAAGGCAAGGTGTGGTGTCCTGCTTGTAACAAACCGCTCAGGACCATCAAGTCTAGATCGCTGTCCGCGCCAAAACCTCGACAGTTCGCAAGCTAAATCACTCCATCCTACCAGAAAATGGTGGTGTCGGTCTTTCGTTGACCTGCGTCGGGTCCGGCAAAGACGCGAACGGAGCAGATTGTCTGCGCCCATCGGATCGGGGTCGTGGAGATCCCCGGCCTTTGATACTGGATGCAATCCCCTAACTCCGGCATGTACGCCTTGGATATCCACGGTTGGTATGTCTCCGAGGTTACCTTCGGCATTACTTAATCATCCTGCGGCAACGTATCTCTCGTTCACTGTGAGAAGCTGCAGTCCCCTATGTCGCGTATGATCTGGATCGGAGGCTCGCTTTGAAGCAGCCGTATCATGAAGGTTGCTCTTCCACGCTCGCTTTATCTCCATGAGGGAGTATGTCGTATATTGGCACTAGATTCATCAACGCCGACTTGCCATTGCTGAATTTTTTTTGGCTCGACAGCTCGCCACCGGCCCGCTCTTGACACTGGACCGATGAACTGAACAATGCCCATTCAAGTGTACGAGTGTTTTTGAAATCTTCATCGTATTGGTTTGTCATATCAGGTATCAAGGCGTCCGTCGCAGAGTTGACATGTCCTTATCCAGGTCCACATGTCCAACCAAACGCTCTACCACTCCAGTCTATTGATGCCTTCTAGCGCGTACTACGCTCTCGGCGGAATATCGCGCCTTCCCGCGTCATCGCGATGCTCGGGTTGTGCAACCACAGACCAGAGTGTACGTGGTTGTGAAGTTCTCACAGAATTGGCATGCACATACAAATCAATTCCACTCTTCTCCAGCCTCGTACATTGCACTTCATCTGCACTCTAGTACCCTGAATCTCGACTTCTCGAGATTCGCACCTGCTTAAGGGACCGATTTACATATCGCAAGTCCCGATCTCGGAACAAGTGATTGAGATCTGTCACAGCATTTGTTTGCCAGGGCAGGTTTCCCGCATGCCCAGTTCCGACTCTTCGACACAATGTGCGCTTGGCGAATTTGCAGACTTCTGGAGCGGAGCCGCCTGGCCTAGGCCAGAGTGGCAAGTGAGCGGGTATATTATACCGACCGACTTCTTCCTGACTTCCCAGCATCCCATCTAGGAGCTCCGCCTTCCCCTTTCCTTCCCTTGATACCGGTTCCGCCAACCGCCATGACCGCAACTCCCAGCTCTACCTCCTCTCACGACGAAAAGACCTCGACGACCGTCGATACGATCCCCGTCGCCCCCAAGCCCGCCCACGTGCGCGTCGTGCCAGTCTCCCCGTATGCCCTCGAGAAGTCTCCAGCCCCGTCAACCGTCGTGTCTACCTACAACAGCAGTGACATATCCTTCGAGAAGGGCGGTCCTGTCTGGGATGGGTATTTAGAGGATGAGCTCCCCGAAAAGACGCACGGTCGCTTCCTCCGCAACGTCCGCTTCCAGATCTTCTCTCTCTATCGGCGGTTATTCGGCATCGTTTTTATCGTCAATATGTCCATCTTCATCGCAACCTGCGTCCGAGGCAGCACGGACGCCAACTACCTCGGCAAGGTCTCCATCGCCAACCTGTTCGTCGCCATTCTCATGCGCCAGGCCTATGTGATCAACACGTTCTTTGTTGTCGCTCGCTGGGTGCCTAACACGTAGGTTGCTCTTCAACAGACGACCAGTCCCTGGCGTTCCCAAGAAGCTTGATTGAGCTGACTGTAGACGCTTAGATGGCCGCTTTGGATTCGAAGGATTGTTGGACGTGTCTACAGCATCGGGGGCAGTAAGTTCCTGCCGTTGTTCCTGTCTGATAAGCCCTGTCGTTGCTGAATACTGCCTTCTGCGCCTTCCCCAGTTCACTCCGGGGCAGCGGTAAGCGGCACCTTATGGCTGATCCTCTTTGCTGCGAAGGCCACTCAGCAATTCATTCATAAGGACAAGGTTCGCTCGTGATTTCTTTTCCATTCTGTTACTGTGCTTACATGGTTTGAAGATTACCGTCCCTACCATCGTCTTCGCTTACGTTATACTGGCTCTTCTGCTGGCTATGATTGTCTTTGCTTACCCGCGCTCTCGGACCCGGCATCACGACACCTTCGAAATGACCCACCGATTCAGCGGATGGACGGCCATCGCGCTCGTATGGTGTCTCGTAAGTAGCGCTCTCATCGACTCAATTATCTGCTTCTTTTTCTCAAGCTTCCTGGCGTCACAGATTATGTTCCTTATCAAGGACTACAAACGGCCAGGTCAGACGCTCGGCCAGGCCGTCGTGCAGGCGCCGCCCTTCTGGCTGGTCCTGATCATGACCTGGTCGATCATCCTCCCTTGGCTGCGTCTGCGCAAGGTCCCGGTCCGGGCAGAAGTGCTCTCGAACCACTGCGTTCGGCTGTATTTCGACTACGGTTAGTCTTCTGTTGAAGTTTCACTTCATACTTCTGCGCCGCCTTTCCGCCACCTCAGCGGCGGCCGCTCATCTAGACTTGTTATAGTGGATACTCAGCCCGGACACTTCACGCGAATGTCGCACAGCCCGCTCTTCGAGTGGCACTCGTTCGCGACTATCTCTGCGCCCGGCGCCAAGGGATATTCGGCCGTGGTCTCGCGCGCCGGCGACTGGACGAGCGAGCAGATTGCCAAGCCTCCGACGGAGATCTGGGTCCGCGACATTCCCACTTTCGGTGTTGTCGCGGTCTCGCCTCTCTTCCGCCGTGTGGTCCTTGTGGCGACAGGCAGCGGGATTGGACCTATCGCTCCGGTGGTCTTCGCGAAGAAGGTACCGTATCAGCTTCTCTGGACGGCCCCGAATGTCCGGAAGACCTTCGGCGACAAGCTGGTCGATTCTCTGCTCGAGGCCAACCCCAATGCTGTCATCTACGGTATGCCATGTGCCGAAATACCTCGCTTTGACTTGTGTTGATTCAATCAATCTTCCTTTTTAGACACTCGGGAACATGGAAAGCCTGACATGGTCAAACTCACTTACCGTCTCGTGCGCACATTCAATGCTGAGGCTGTCGTTATCATCTCCAACGAACCCTTGACGAAGAAGGTTGTCTATGGTATGATGAGTAGAGGGATCCCTGCATTTGGGGCTATCTGGGATTCGTGATTCTGTTTGAGGTGTTTTTGGATTCAATCAGACCGCCTCTTGTCGGCTCTTTGCCGTCGGCCATCGGCAATCGCTAGACTTGTATCTGTAGCCTCACTCATGCAACTCTGACACCTATGATGCACACGATATTTCACAAACACGATTAGCACATATGCACTCCAGCATCCCACGGGCTGTGAACGGCTACCACTAGTGATTGACTCCGACGGATACAAATGGAGATGGCACTCTGTCTGGGGTCGGGTTCATGTCTATCAAAGCCATGTGACCTCTGACGACATATGTAGTCGAAGCTCCCAACACAAGGTCGTTCTGTGTTGTAAAGGCTGCTGATGTCGAAGATGTGCAATCGCGGTGAGCGCCCGGTGGCGAACTTTGATACCTGCCAAAAGCGGAATATCGCCAGAGGGCACAGCTTCCAGGCATGCCGGGTGCATCCCGCCCCAGCGCGTGTTTTTCCGCTCGCATGCGGCTACTTCTCGTCACCGGATGCCAACCTCTTCAATGCACATGGTGACAGGCCACCGCAGCATGCGCATACCCTCACGGTCATTGCTGCCCTAACCGTTGACCTTGAACCCAACAAACAATCATTCGCAATCCTCGTATCAGTGTTGCAATGCGTATCGAAGAGGGATTCCAGCCGGTGAGAATGCAACCGTGATCTTCACATTGTGAGATGATGGGCTTTGAAGCCAACTTTTGACCCACCTGCGTTCGATAGGTTCCTTTCGAGGAAGGAAATCCATACGCCACCGACCCGGCCCTACCTTCGCTTTTGAAGCGCATCCTTCCCCGTGATGTGTTCAGGGATGTTGACGAAGACCTGGAACGCTTCGGCGGAGAAGTGCTGACAAGTGAGCCATATGCATCATTACATCATTGTGCTGCGCATGCGCGACGGCGTTCTGACGGCGATTCACCCATAGCTTTACGAGAGACGAGCAAGCTCTCCACTCCACCCCAGCTCATCCAGTATGACAATTGGGGCAGGCGCGTTGACGAGCTCCGGACTTCGGAAGGATGGCGTCGCATGAAAGACATCTTTCATCGCGAAGGGCTTGTTTCGATCGCGTACGAAAGGAAGTATGGTGAACACAGCAGGCCATACGGCTTTGCCAAGCTCTTCCTTGCCACCGCCGACTCCGATGTTGTGAGCATCTTCCCTGATTCTGAGTTGTGTAGCATGGCAGATCTATGACTGAAGCCGTTGTAGACAGACTGTCCAATGAGCATGACAGATGGCGTCGCCCGAGGTGGGTTTCAATGGAGGTTCGCGTGACCTGAGGGAGCGATGGTCTTAGCAGCCTTTGTTCAATGCACCATTTAATCGTTGCGCTGACTTTTTCTTGGTAGTGATTGAGCTTATCGGGTCTGAGACCCTGAAGCGAGACGTTCTCGCAAGGCTCACCAGGTCCGTCCCTTGCACAGTCGTCCGGCAGTCACACGCTCTGACAACAGAATCCTCCGCTATCTCCTATCGCTTTCAATCTGCACGATACGGAAATCAGTCGGGACCCTGCCGCAGCGTACACCGCTGGACAATGGATGACCGAGGTATGGACCATATTCGTGCTACTAACCGGCTACTTATGTGACATACATGACGGGGTGTGTATAATGTCATCTAACGCCACTGTTGATACAGCGGCCTGGAGGTTCCGACGTATCGCGCACAGAGACGGTGGCTGTACCAGATACAGCCTCCCAGCACGACGAGTACGGACCCCGTTACAAACTCGATGGCTTCAAGTGGTTTTCGTCGGCGACAGACAGCGATGTCGCGCTTGCACTCGCGCGTACTGGCCGGCCAGAGGACGGCTCTCGTGGGCTGTCCCTCTTCCTGGTTCCCGTCCGCCTCCCGCTCGTTCGCGACCCCGGAGCTCCACGGCCGTCGGCCGTTACGAACAACATATTCATTCACCGTCTCAAGAACAAATTCGGCACCAAGATCGTCCCGACGGCCGAGCTCTCCATCAACGGCGCCCAAGCGTTCCTCCTTGGAGAACCCAACCAAGGCGTGAAGCTCATCACGCCTGTCCTCAATATCACGCGCACCCATTCCGCCGTCGGGTCTGTTGGGTACCTCCGCAAATGCCTCGCGATTGCGACCGCATACTCGAGCGTGCGGAAAATCCGCAGCGGGACGCAGCTGCTGAAGGACACGCCGTTGCATGTGGCCGAACTGGCGAAGCTGCATGTGTTGTATCGGGCGCTGTTGCAGCTGACGTTCGGGTCAATCGTGCTGTTGGGAAAGGCGGAGTGCGGGGTGGCGAGTGAGAGCGAGGGGCTGAGGCTGAGGTTGCTTACGCCTGCCATCAAGGCGTTCACCGCCGAGAAGTGCGTGACCGCCATGGAGGAGTGCATGGCCTGCCTTGGAGGCGAAGGATACATGGAGGAGAATGGAATCGCCAAGTGAGTGTGATTGCGCCATGTGATGACACGGCTTGCCTGATACTCTGAAGGTTGATTCCAGACGGCATCGTGGAGAAGATTTGGGAGGGCACGATCACCGTGCTCTCCCTCGACTTGGTCCGTGCGGCCGAGAAGTCAACTGCGATGGATGCATTCGTGAAGGTAGGTCCTGCCGTTCACCCATTTGCACGCACTCTCCTCACCGTGTCATCTCAGTGGGCGCACGAGGTCCTGCAGTCGTGCTCCAGATCGCTCTCCGAACCTCTGGGCGGTCCCTTAGCCTTCCTTCGCCTCGCCGTTGACGAGCTAGCGAATGCCTATAAGGGACCGATCCACCCGCTTCTCCCCCGGCCCGCCTTGTTCCTCTTCTGCCATGTCGCATCAAGCCTCTATCTGCTCGAGCAAGCCATCTGGGCCGTCAATGAAGGGGAGCCCGAGGCTCAGAACGACGTGGAGGTGTTCCGCCGTTGGGTTCTGGAGGGTGGCCTTGACACAGCCTTGGAGAACGTCCGCAGGACAAAGAAATTGCAGAAGGACCGCGTTCAGTCCGACGTTGCGATTGTCTACGGATCAGGAGGTGGACGAACGGCGGCAAAATTGTGAGCATGGCCGTTCGGGTCTAATGCCTCTTCATACCGTCGTCTTCAAGCAATTTAGCTTCCTCAAAACAAAAGACCAATTGCATAACATACGTACGCGACAGCCTCTGTCTGCGATTATGTCCAATGAAAGTTATATGCTTCTCTGTCGTAACTATTATACAAAACATCGCGACAGCTTGAGTAGAGCTACAGTGTACATCATTTATACATCTTGTCGATGTCGAAGACTCGCAAGGATGAGTACTATCTGAGCTAACCAGCGTAAGGCACGATATGACAGCTGCGGGAATGGGTCAGTATCATTTCGTTCCTGACAAGGGTAGGATGGCCATACCCCAGAAGACCCCGCCCACCCCATCCTCGTCTTGGGGTGAGCGTCAGCGTCACCCTTTGGTCGCCCGATCGCATGACCTCGATCGCAAGTTGTTGCTGTTGTGTGGATAAAGCAAGCTCAGTCCGTGAAATCGAACGAGAAAGCAAAGCAAGGAAACCCACGTTTTCTTGCGCGGAAACCAACTCTGCCAGTGGCTGCAATGACGAAGAAGTGAAGGACGCCTTAGTAAGGGGCCCAAACGACAAAACGAGGTCGTCTCGCCGCAATCCCTGGAGACTGATTGGCCACATTGCACGAGTAATCAAGGGATCGAAACATACTGCTGAAGCAGCAGGGCTGCCGGGCGCAACGCCGTCCACCTTGGCGAAAGGCTCAGAGACAGTACCAGGAAGACTCGACGAGACGGGCTGTGGGGGTTGTTCCCTCGCGAGCGTGCTAGGATCGAAGACATTCTGCAGAGCAAGGCTGATGTTGTTCAGTAGTGCATTGCAATCATTCCTGAGCTCAATGATCTTGACGCGAGCATGGCGAACGGCCCAGACGTCAATGTCCGCCCGAGGGAAGCCTTCCGGGTCGACGAGCGGAGTGTCCATGTTCACGCCATTGCTCTGCAAAACAGAGAATTGTGCCTCCATCTCCTCCTCGATCGCGTCCTTACGCGCCATGAGGCCCCGTACATGTTCCGCAGCTGGGTTATTGTTCATTCGCGGTGGTAGAGTGAATCCCATTACAGATGGCGGGAAGGGAAGAGGTGAAAGAGGAGGATGGGGCCAGGCTGCTGTTGCTTACGCGGCGAGGATAATCAAAGCGCCGTATATGGGTTTGCCGTATACGGGCCGCAACTCGCGCTCGTCCAAGTCGATGCGCGTGAGCCACGCCAGCTGGACGCAATCACATTTTCCTTCATTCTGCCTCCTTTCCTCTCTGGTTCTTGGTTGTCGTCCACATGGACGAGTTTACTGAGGGAAGCTACTCTTCTCAGCCTAGGACGCGTAGCAATCGCAGAACCTCAGTATACTCCCAAGGTTCCGCACAGGCCGCTCCTGTCAATTGGCCACAGCAAACAATTCCAACTGGACCTGTGCTCAAACACCGGCTGTCCTCTCACAGCGTGCGGAGTGATGCGTAAGTCCCATACTTGCTCGTTTCCCGCATGTCTAAGTCGATGCTGAACACGCGTGTTGACACGTCCTGTAGCTCAGAAACCGACCGTTCAGAGATTGTCGCGCCCATCCCTCTCAGACATCATATTCTCCAGACATCCGAAAGTCGGCGATGGCTCGACACACCTCCGCTATCTCCCTACTCTCCCCCAACATCTCCATTGTCCTCTTCAGCGATCTCGCCGGCTCGCGGCAGGAAGCGGCTAAGCCAAACCCTAAGCCTCAACGCGATCGCAAGCCAGGATCGACAACGCGTTACTTCTATCTCACATCCCGCGGCCCATCATCCACCTAGGGAACGTAAACTTGAGGATGAAGAAAGTATGGCGAAGCGGTGGCTGAGGTGGATGCACCACGAGCACATGAAGTCTTACGTAGCCCCTTCAGTGGTGCTGGCCTCGATATGGGTGAAGTGGACGGTAGGATTAGGGTCGTATTCTGGTCTGCAATTCATACGCTCTTGTCAATGCCACAGTTGTTTACCAGATGCACAGGGCAAGGGACGCCGCCTATGTTTGGCGACTACGAAGCCCAACGACATTGGATGGAGTTGACGATACACCTACCCACTCGACAGTGGTATACTTATGACTTGCAATACTGGGGTCTCGACTATCCACCTTTGACTGCATATGCGTCATGGCTCTGTGGTATAGTGTACGTCCTCGAGTCCTGCGCGCGCGGCTGGTGCTCACCACTATGCAGTGGGTCATGGATAGATCCCTCATGGGTCGCTCTCGACGACTCGCGGGGCGTTGAGACCCCTGGCAGCAAAGTCTTCATGCGCTCTAGCGTCCTTGCGTTGGACACCTTGATATATGTCCCTGCACTCTTCATGTTCACGAGGGTTTGGCAAGGCACCCGCTCGTCACGGACACAGGTATGGCCCAGGCTATTTTGATCCATTGGTCACTCCCTCCCATCCTAATCGGCCTCGTAGAATCTTGCTCTCCTGCTGCTGCTGTTCCAGCCCGCTCTTACCATCATCGATTTCGGCCACTTTCAGTACAACTCTGTCATGCTCGGTAAGATTTTCCCCGTCGCGCCTCTACTTTAGCCTTAACGTCTGCACCAGGATTCACGCTGTTCTCTATGAACTTCTTCGCGATAGGACAAGAGCTCGTCGGCGCAGTATTCTTCGTGCTCAGCCTAGGTTTCAAGCAAATGGCTCTGTACTATGCGCCCGCGATCGGAACGTATCTCCTCGCCAAATGCCTGTATCTCGGGCCTACCGAAGGGTGGGTTCCTCATCTGCCATTCAACCTACTCACACTCACGACAGTCTCAGCACCAAATTGTTCATTCGTTTAGGTATCGTTACAAGCGCGTCGTTCGTTATCCTCTTCCTCCCCTGGCTACCCCCCTTCGCTCCCCTCCGCGCCATCCTCAATCCCATCACTCGCATATTCCCATTCAACCGCGGTCTCTTCGAAGACAAGGTCGCAAACTTCTGGTGCGCGACCAACGTCGTCCTCAAATGGAGACTATGGGCCACGCAAAGCGTTTTAGTCAAGCTTTCGACGGCCCTGACTGCTCTAGGTTTCTTGCCTGCTGTTGCTACCCTCCTCTTCAGCGGGTATAGGCTCCGCGTATGGTCTACAACTGAGGCGCCCGCAGAATCTGACAAGAAAGCTGACAAGAAAGACGATGACAAGGCCCCTGTGACGCCTGCTACCCCCGCTGCCCCAACGCCAATTTTGCCACTACTACCCTACGCCCTCCTCACGTCCTCGCTGTCCTTCTTCCTGTTCTCATTCCAAGTGCATGAGAAGACGATCCTGGTTCCGCTTCTCCCTATGACGCTGCTCCTGTCCGGCTCGTCGCCGGACGAGCAGACGTTCGAACTGGGCATGCTAATGAACAATGTTGCTATGTTCAGGTGGGCCCAGAATTCCAAAGATCCACGTGCTTGAAAGGCTGATGCAATCTCAGTATGTGGCCGCTTCTCAAGCGTGACGGTCAAGGCATCCAATATGTTGCCCTTCTTATCCTCTGGAACAAACTGATCGGTTACAACCCTTTCCGCGCCGCCCGCTCCTCTTACCTCAAGCTCCTTTCCTTAGTCAGTGTCTATTGTCTAGACACCTGGTATTCATCTAACAGACATTCGCAGGCCGTCTACGCAGCATGTTTCGCCGTTCATCTCGCAGAACTCTTCATCTCCCCTCCCGCCCGCCTTCCCGATATCTTCCCCGTCCTCAACGTCCTCGTTAGTACGCCCGTCTTCGCGCTCGTCTGGCTCTGGAGCATCAAGCGCGGCGTCGAAGTCAGCTGGGCCATCGGCGGTCTCGGATCCCGCTCCAAGGCTCCTGCCTCGTCGCATAAGAGGCCTCTTCCTGCATCCGCGTCTTCCCTGCCGCTCCCCGCGGACAGGCAATCGGAGCAGCACTGGTCTCCCGACGGAGCTACGGCGCTGCGGGCTGGGGGGTTGCGGACAATGAGTCTGGGATATGCACAGGCGCGGCAGAGGAAGGCGCTTGGGCGCAGTGGGAGCGTCGATATCCATTGATGTGTATACTCGGACTAATGTAGGTAGCTTTGTGATCTAGCCTGGGTGTGGTATAATTCATGTCTACGGTACCGCTCGTGTATGCTGCATTCTCGGTGGGGGAAACTGCGAGCCAGTGCAGTCCAAGTCCATGGAGAGACGAGTTTTGCATAGTAGCATGGGTGTATCTACCCGTATACATGCACAAACCGTCTACTAGCATTTTGTAGTCTGATGACGCTCTCAAGGAGTGAGTCCCGATTTGTCAATACCAACGAAATGTTACCGACAAGACTAAGCACCATACCCACGGCTGCGCGACCGCCGAAGAGCCTACTCGTAAATGTGGGCGGTGATTGGATCGAGAGGGGTTCTATCCCACCAGCAATGTGACCGAGCCAGAAGTTCGTGGGCGCCCAGCCATGATACTACAAATATGCAAGGGTTCCGGACGGAGAGCCACAGGTTCTCTCCCAGCCTGCAGTGCATCAGCCTACTCACATATCGATTCATCTTGCGAACATGGTGAACCCCGCGTACCTCTTCGTCTTCACCGAACGCGGCTCGGCCATCGACGAAGCCATCTTCGAAGATTGGTACGACAACGAGCACATACCTCTCCGCCTCAATCTGCCCGATAACCTTTTCGCCGGCGTCACTCGCTGGACTGCTGCGGACGGGAAGATTCCCCAGCATCTCGCCATCTATAACCTCTCGTTGCCCGATGCGACCTCCCATCCCGCATACGTTGCGCTCGCAGGGTCTCGCAGCTCGCGCGAGATCGACATCCTCGCGAAGCTCGCGTACCTCGACAGGCGGGTGTACGTGCCGTTCGGGCACGAGCCCATTGGCGCGCAGAAGGAGGGGTACGACGAGCGGAACCCGGGGCCGTTCTTGCTGGTCGCCGAGCTGAACGTGAAGGATTCGCCCGAGGCGGAGGCGGAGGTCGAGAGGTGGTACCTTGAGGAGCACATCGCGGAGGTGAGGAAAGTGCCGGGCTGGGTGCGGAGCAGGGTGTGGACTGTCAAGGAGGTCCTGAGCGTGTGGGGCACGAGCGTGGACGTGTCGGCGCCGCAGAAAGCTCCGGCGAGAGTCGTCGCGCTGCACGAGTGGGAGAGCCCTGAGGCACTGCAAGGTCCGGAGGTCCAGGCGGCGATCGATACGGACTGGTCGAAGAGGCTATTGAGCGATGGGGTAATTGCTGGGATAGAAACTAGGCTGTTGAGATACTTGCGGGGATGGGAAGGTAAAGAGGGAGCGTAGATCAGACCAATTTGCTGGGCTGATATGAAGTCATTCAATTGCCTGTACCGATAGCTA